TGGCAACCTTTTTAAATGTATCTGGCGGTTGAGAAACACAAAATAATACTTAAATATTGTCAAAGTTTAAAAACACAATTATCATTGATACTGTAAAGTTGACGCCATATTTATACAACGATATAAGGCCAATGAAAATTGATATCATGTTTCTCGTCCACAATTTTCAAAAATTTGGAGCGGGATTTTTTCATTTTTCATTATTTTTTGTATTTGAATTCTGCTTGTCGATAATTTCCTAGACCCAGTAAAAAAACCCATAAAAATCTGAAGTATTAAAAATTGGTGTATAATTCATTTTAATTTAATACGTCCTACACTACAGTCTACAGACTACAGTATATTTCTTTACATATACCAGGGCTGACATGAAAAATAGAGGCATTCTGGCAAGTAATATCTTTAGAAAGATACAATTTGAGTTGCGCTTGCGGAATGCAGCAATAAGACTTTGATCTGGAGATGAATTTGGTATTTTTTAAGCCTATTTTCAACTAAAATAATGAATAATGAAAAATTTTCGTGCGGCAGATAAATCCCATGCGGGCGGGGACGAGAAACATGATATCAATTTTCATTGGCCTAAGCAAAACTTACTGAACTTCAGACATCATTTTCTCTTTGGCATACCATCTAAAATCTCTTCATTTTAGCATAAATTTGCAGATAAAGCAACAGACATACTTTTTAAGTTTGTTTGCCGCTTGAGAAGCGTACCAACAATGAAAAAATTTGAATATAGGCATGACCAAGTATAGAAAAGCATATTCATTATAACCTATATTAATATAACTACAAACGCGCAAAAGCATCAAAATGATTGTGGGATATTTATACAAATTTCAACTTTTGCTGTTGATAAATACATTAGTATATATGTTCGGACTTATTAACAGCTGAACGTATAAAAAATTAATGTACATATTTCGAATAAATATTTACTGAAATATATAAATTATATTAGTGATCTATATTAACTTTGGTAGTTTGGTTGCAGCAGAAAGCGCGCGGTTGAGCACAGCTTGTCGAACACTGCTTGTTCCCAATTGTTGACAAGTCTGGAACAAGTTGTTATCATCTTGTAACAAGGTTGATGAGGCCAACAGACTCGCAACCAGGTTTTTAGCCAGAAGGGCGTCCTGGCAGGGGCGGATCTAGGATTTTTCGTACCTCAGTCAAAAATTTTTGGCGGACGGGGCGTTGTCAGCGCGGGGCGTCGTCAGCGCTGGGCGTAGTCTCGACTGGGCGTGAAAAACGTATTTAGATTAAATTTAAATTGATAAGAAAAACATTGTAAGAAAAACTACAAGTGCACAAAGATATATTGATCCTATTCCGATACAAAATTTTATGGATATATTACTATGATATAGTACATTAAAACTCAGCAGCAATTTAATAACATGTTTGCCTGTGGATTAATCAATCGCCGTCATATTGATACTATATACCTATAAGTGTATCATTGTAAAACTTGTAAAATCATATGGCAGCAAATGCATAATGTTCTGTTACCAAAAACGCAGAGCTATACAAATAATTGCTAGTAGCCTCAGATCCAAAAAACAACCAGATATTCATTAACTAAGTCAAACACTATTACATTAACAAGATATAAAGATGTTATGTCAAATATTAATGAACTAGTTACATGAGAATGGCTACCAGTCAATGAGCTTTTCAAGCTAGCTTATTAAATATTTCACATCATCATGTTACACCAGACCAATGCAGTCTAACAAGCCGTGTCGATAGGCTATGGACAAACAGTATTATTCTATAAGGCCGACATGTTGTGCGATCGATGCATAAATATAAATAAATCTTAAATAAAACTTCACCATAAACACGAGAATCAACAAATGCTTACAATGTGGACATTGAATAAAACATATTTTAGCTTCTTGACGCGAGAATTATGCTAATACAGCATAGCGAATATTAAAATATCATATGTCAAACAATCATTAACAACACCGACGGCTTTGGTTCTTCGGTTTAATTAATATAAACTAAAGATACATCATTATAAAACCATAAATTGCTCTACCTTATTGCAGTGCAAGCTTTGTCTTTCTTATCTCGAACATACTTCGGAATGTAGCTCTCTGCGCCAAAATTTCTAGCGAGGCTTCTGCTTGTGTTGTTGATGGCGCTCACTTTGCCGTTCAGTAGCTCGTCAACAGAATTTGTCCGTGAAGCATCGATATTTTTCTCAAGCTCGGTATACAAACGTTGTAGAGATTCTAAATCGTTTGCCGCAATCGCAAACTGAATATTGTCGAAAATGTTTCCAGATATCGCTGGCAGAGATCGCTCGTAAAAATATAATAGTAAAATTCCTCACATGCCAGACGTTCGAAATAGTAAACATTCAGGAGGTATAAAACACCAAATGCCGCGTTGACGAATACCCCACGCTGCGAATCCGTCGAAAATATAAGCCAATGACAGCGCAGAATATTTTTAAATGGTTCAATCAGAAGACTCATACAGAGCCCCTGAATCTGCAAATCCGTCAGGCCTCCCCACAGATTCGTCGCAAATGGCTGTAACCATGGAAATGAACGCGTCAGCCAATGAGATAGCCGGATTCAACCCCCGAATCCGTCAACATTCATGCGTAAGACCGCTGTTCGTGACTGACTAACATTACTTTGCCGAAGCTCTGCCGCAGCATGAAACGTATAACTGGACTACGATTCAAAATTTTAATAACTCGATCTACTGGCCGCTATAGATAGCTGGAGTCGATTTTTTTTAATTAAGTAGGCAATTTTTACTTCAGTCGCGCGACTGACTTGACGACCCCTAGATCCGCCCCTGCGTCCTGGGACGAAAAATGGACGCCTTTGGAAGCCCAAAATATGGGGGAAAAGGGAAATTATTTTCAATTATTTCCGTAAGTATATTAATACATCTGAAACGAAATAGCTTCAATTCTCATTATTATTATACATTTGACATTTTGATCAACTTGATGGTGCACCTGGCTGAATGAAAATGTCATAAGGCGTAAAAAAAATACCTGCGGTTCCGGTTTCATATCGTGAAAAAAATAGGGTCGGTAGGTCGGAAATGAAATTTTTTTTTTAATATTTTTTTCATGGATTTAGCAGTTTTTTGCTGGGCGATTTGCAGTAGAGTCCCAACATCAATTTAACTAGAGATGCGTAGTTCCTACGGACGAATTTAGTTCAATAATTAGGCAGAAAAAAATGGGGTCGGTCGGGAACCGGAACCACAGGTATTTTTTTTACGCCTAATTAAGTAAAGAAGCATAGCGGCATAAACGAGCTTGGAACAGATACTGACATGAAGTAACGTAAACTTCAAAGGTTTTCCAGAGGAACGTTTTCTCATATATGTGGATGCATTGTTATACCAAAATTGGACGCCCTCTTTTAGGACCCTGGCTAAAAGCCTGCTCGCAACAAATTGTTCCAACATGTCTGATAACAAGTTGTTTTCAAGTTGATGACAACAAGCTCGTAGCAACCTGTTACGAACAGCCTGTATTAGTCTTGTTGGAACAACTTGTAGCAAGTCTATTACCGTCATCAACATTGTAACAAAGTGATAACAACACGTTCCAGAATTCTATGAAAACAAGCAGTGCGAACACATCCTGATATCGGCTTGGCAACAACCTTGTCACAACTTATTTGCAGATCCTTATAACAACTTGCCCGTTTTTACGCGTGTAGCAGAGAATAGTAACGAACAGAGAGTTCATGTGTACAAAACCAGTCCAGCCGGTTTTTTCCACCAAATTCTCCCAAAAATTTCACATCTTGTCAACAAGACGTGTTATAATAATGTTAATAATATACATAAAAATATTACTCGACTTCAGTACAATTAATCTCAGACAGCAGTGCGAAATTCTGTAACAACAGAATTTATCCCTTTTAAAATGGAAAAAACTTAACTTAAACAAGACTATATAGCAAAGTCCGTATTCGAGTGAAATTTTCAAGCCGTTAACGTTGTTTATATAATGTGATTTATAATATAGCAGTTGTAAATTCTGAACGCTGATTGGCTAAGAGCCGTGTTGATATAATGTCAACACGGAAACGTCGGAAAATTTCTTTCTTTATATTTCTTTGTGCTATATTATAAAACAAATATAAAACATTTTTTCCGTATTGATAGACAGTTATATCAACACTCGTGGAAATTGGGAAAACTCGAAATTGTGTGAAAACACTCCGCCCTTCCGGCGTCGTATATTTCCACACAATTTCTCGTTTTCCCAATTCCCACTCGTGTTGATATAACTGTATTTCAACACGGAAAATGTTTTATATTTGTTAAATAACAAAGCAGGGAAATTTGTCAGTAGACGGTTCGCTATAAACGTAAGTTAAAACTACAATTGTCTCGAACATTTTTATGTATATTATTAACACGTAATAGGATGGTTTCTCGTAAAATTTGGATAAAACAAGTCAAATACCTCAAATAGCATTATTTCGATGCTCTTTGAAAAACTCGCTAGCGCATGTTTTATCAAATGGGTGATTCCAGCGCCTGTATAGACTAAATTTTGATCAAGGCAAGAAAAACGAAATCCAACAACACAGCTAGAAAGAGTGTCTTAGATGAGTAAAAGATTGGTTGCTAAATGTTGTAAAATGAAGCGAATATAACCCTGCATGTGAATTTCGCAAACTTTGTATACATTTGTATTACGCGCGGTAAAAATAAGCACTTCCCGAGCAAAACGGAAAAGTCGAATATGAGCGCGAAAAGCTGCTGCATGGGAATCGCTATGAAAATTCATTAATTTTTTAGGGATTCCCAGCAGACTTTCGCGTTCGTATTCGACTTTTCCGCTTTGCTCGTGGACAACCTTAATTGAAATAGCTGTATACAAAAAAATTGCGAACTTCACAGGACTATATTTTCCTCATTTTACAACAATTCGCAAACAAACTTTGCAATTTTACTCATTTTAAGATGCTATTTCCAGCTATGGTAATGGATTTCGTTCTTCTTGGCTAGATCAAAATTTCGTCTATAACTGAAATCACTCATTGCACTCAAAACCATCCTATTACCTACCACTAAGATTTCATAAATATTTTGCACATTGTGTTACCTTACGCACAGCAAACCTTTTACATCAGCCAGTAATGAATCCAAGTTTTTCCGAAATCTCTCCTTACTTGGTTTATCAATTGCAATTTTGACATCTGCCGGTGTTAGCTTGTTGAAGGAATCTACCAATCTTTGATGGACTATCGAGTCCGTTTGAGTTACCAAAATATTTTGAACGAGACTTGTGTATTCCGCCTGAATGATGTAAATATGTTATGTGATTTGTTTTGTACGCAATGGAAACAACATGAATTATCTCAGATCTTGTAGCAAGTCTGTCAAGAAGCCGTTAACAAGTTTTGTTCGCACTGCTTGTCCCAAGTTGTCAACAAGTTTGCTGTTAACAACTTGTAACAATCTTGTTGATATTATCAGAGTTACAAGGTTGTTCTAACAAGTGTGATACAGTCATGATGTAACAAGAATGTTACAAGGTTGACGACACAAGGTTGTAACAATATTGTCATACCATTACCGTATCGGACTTGTTGGAACAACCTTGCAACAAGTCTGATAATATCAACAAGGTTGTTACAAGTTGCTAACAGCTTGTTCCAAACTTGTTGACAACTTGGGACAAGCAGTGCGAACACAACTTGTTGACGGCTTGTTGGCAGACTTGCTACAAGATGTGAGATTGTTGCGGCAATAATCATTGGAGTATCAGCCAGGTACGACTAAAAATCTTGAATTATCGCAAGCACTCAGGGTTCCTGAAGAAGAGTTGGACTGCAAGACAACTTCATTAAAACTGTAAATGGGACATTTCTTACCTGATGGCAACATATAAGGGACCATAGTGCATCGGCAGCTGGTATAGAAAGATCGACAACATCAAATGTTTCAAACATCAAAAAGTTGAAGAGAACCTGAAAATGAAAATTATTCTTTAGTTAGTAACATGGAGTAGATTCTATAGTAGGTTCTATCAGTTCTATACTGTTGTCCGTCGAGTAACAGTAAGGGAAATTTCGTATTGATACAGGGTTCCTGTTAGTTCCAATCTTGGTCCAGAAGGAAACCTAACCTAAACTAACTTTACTTATACTGGATATAGCTCTATTAGTTCTAAACTGTTCTCGCTAGATGTTTAACAAGAGCATTTCTTCTTTACCTACTGTTACTACAGGAGGAAACCTAAACTAAACTAACTTTACTTATACTGGATAGCTCCATCAGTTCTAAACTGTTCTCCCTTGAAGTCTAATAAGAACCATCTTTTATTTAGTTATACTGTTCCTACAGCAGGAAACCTAAACTAAACTAACTTTTCTTACAGATACTGGATAGTTCTATCAGTTCTAAACTGTTCTCCCCAGAGGTCTAACAAGAGCCGACCAAAACTAAACTAACTTTATTTATACTGGATAGTTCTATATCAGTTCTAAATTGCTCTCCCTAGAGGTCCAGTAAGAGCCATCTCTTATCGTCCTATTGTTATACCTTTAGCATAGACTTTAATGCAACTGATAATCTCTCAGTCAGGGTGTTCTTTTGTTGTTGATTTCGAAATAAATCTATTGCCATGCCACTTAAAGCTTCCAGAGTCGATTTGGCGATATCAGTGCCGCATCTACACACAGTTAAGGAATGATTTATAAACTGCAAACAACTTGTAACAAGGTTCTTGTTGAAAAGCCGATATCAGGATGTGTTCGCATTGCTTGTTCCCAGTTGTTGTGACAAGTTTGGAACAAGCTATTAACAACTTGTAACAAGCTTGATGACATTGCCAGACTAGTTACAAGGCTGTTCCAACAAGTCAGATACAGTCATGATATAACAAGAATGTTACAAGGTTAACGACACGAGGTTGTAACAATGTTGTTATATCATGAGTCCATGACTGTATTGGACTTGTTGGAACAACCTTGCAACAAGTCTGACAATATCAACAAGACTGTTACAAGTTGTTAACAGCTTGTTCTAAACTTGTTGACAACTTGGGACAAGCAGTGCGAACACAACTTGTTGAGCTTGTTGGCGGACTTGCTACAAGATGTGAGATTTTTGCGTGCGAAGATCAAACTGAAAGCAATCTTCTCGCATGCAACTGAGGTGAAATTATAGAGTGTAACTCTTCCAACGAAAGAAAGGATACTCTTTTAATCCCTTCTCCAAAGAAGCCATTAAATTCGTGAACAAATGATCAGGCATCTGACATATAGCCTCTGTATGTTCTTCACAAACGAATGTTATCAATTTGAAATACTCCTCGTTTAATTCGGGAAACTGAAAAAAATTAATAAATAATAAATTACTGAAGAAAACAATCAATACTACGAGCAGCTTAAAGTGTGAGTAACCACAAATATGATTTTTGGTATGTGTAATATTTGCGTCATTCGAAGAATAAATTTTTTTTCAGACTTTTAATGATTTGCAATATATACAAAAAAAAAAGAATTCAAGAACGTACAAACATTACAAAAATAGTTAAAATTACTTATTATAATAGAATAAATGATGACTTAGTTAAATTATAGAAGCTTTCGAGTCGACTACTGTCTATGTGAGATTTTTTCAGTGTATTTGAGCTAAGAATATTAGGGAAAAAAACACACAAAAATATTTGAAGGGATGATGATGTATGCATGCAGATCAATAGACTATGCATACTAGGAATATGCAAATAGAAATACAAATTAGAATCGTGCTAAGATGAAATCACCACAGATGTTCATAGATATCAAAAACACTAACTTTCTTTGAAAAAAAAGACTTAATTGAAAAAAAAAACAGTGTTCTTTTCACCAATTGGAGCTAATCGTCGTTCTGCTGACTTAGTAAATACAACGTATACTTCCGTTTAAAAGTCTTAAAAGGGAGATGCTTTATGTGATAAGGTGTAGTTTCCCATAGCACTGATGCAGTATATTTGAAAGTAAACTTGCCATAATTAGTTCTTACTTGAGGTCTATAGAAATTTAGTTTAGATGTAAGTCTTGTGTTGTAATTACGTAGTAAGTACTATATATGTACTATATATCTTTATAATAAAAAATCTTGATCAATTTTTTCACTTAAAAATGCTAGATGCGCGACCAGGATTCAAGGTTGACGACACAAACTTGCTTACAAGATGTGAGTTTTTGGGTGAGATTTTTTTTTGTGAATATTTTCTGGGTTCATCATTTCCTGCTATGTTCAAAATTACCTTTAATAATTCAGGAGTGATAAAAGGCAGTAAAATATTTAATCCATATAAAACAACATTAGCGCAATTTTGGCCAGCATTAAAACCATCATCTTCATCTATAAAAGCAAACAAATAGTATGTTTACTAAGCAAGCAAAATTTTGTATTCAAACCTATAAAAATATATCAACAGTCAAACATGTTGTCTGGGATAGGTTGGGAAGACATTGGACTTTTCTGAAGCCTTTGAACGATAGCTGAAATAACTGTGTATCACAGCTGTAACAATAATTCGTAAAAGCAATGGTAGGCTCTAATTTAAGCTATATATTGCGTGAAATTTAAGGCGTTCAAAGAACTAATATTTCAAGCTATAAAGATGGTCTCCAACAACCAAATCCCCCCTCGCCACTGCATTGGTGGGCCTATATACCCGGGGGGGGGGGCCTTATATTAAGGGACGATATTCGGAGGCCATTATATTCGGCGAGTTAATACGGCAAAATTCTTACCTGAAGAGAAGTCAAAGTATTCTTTGGTTAAAATAGTTGTTAAAATTTTCATAAAAATCAACAAATCTAAAAACGTTTCTTCTTCGGCTAAAATGCTTCGATTATGTCTGCCTGTAAAAATAGAAGAATATTTCTTTCTACATTAAATCTAATAACAATTCATCGTCAGCGGCGGATTTGCAACTACTGTACAGCGCTGTTAAATCACAGGAAACAGCGCCATAAAAATATATTATGATTACCATTCATTTACCTAGACTGTGCTTGGAGTAGACTTCCATTAAACGAACACATATCTCCTGTAGTCTTCGAGAATCACCCTGAAAAATAGTATTGTACATAAATAAACTCCAACAGGGGCGGATGTACCGTGGGGGTGCACAGAGGGTTGTGCCCCCCCCCCCCCCAGTGGTGTCCAGCATCCCCCTAGAGAAGTACATGTCGAGGTTGTTATACAACATATACAACCATATACCTATTCAGGAAAAAGTTAGTTCACTAACCGTAGAAACATATCCAAGCTGGGACTCGACAACATCCAACAACAACGACAGCAATATTTCCACAGTTTCAGAACAGTTATTGTACAATTCAAACAACGGTACGCAGTGTTCGAGGACTGGCACTAGGAACGCGAACAGGAAGGACACAGTCCGTCTGTCCGTCGCCTTGGCAACACCACGAAAGCATTCCAGCAATCGCTCCACTTCGTCTTTGTAAGCTTCATGCTGACATTCTTTGCGAAACGTCGGCGCTTGTACCACCGAGAAAAATCTGGTCTTGATTGGATTTAGAATCTGGGAAGATATAGTGCTGTCTCAGTATATACTGCACACCTCTCTAATACAGGCACCTCTCTAATACAGGCACCTCTCTAATACAGACACCACTCTATTACAGACACCAGTCTATTACAGACACCTTTCTAATATGGAGATCTCTCTAATATGGAAATACAGACACCTTTCTAATACGGACATCTCTCTAATACGGACACCTCTATAATACAGACACCTCTCTTCTACGGATAGCTCTCTAATGTGGGCATCTCTCTAATATGGACACCTCTCTAATATGAACACATCTCTAATACGGACACCTCTCTAATGTGGACATCTCTCTAATATGGACACCTCTCTAATATGAACACATCTCTAATACGGACACCTCTCTTAATGTGGACATCTCTCTAATACAGACACCTCTCTTCTACGGATAGCTCTCTAATGTGGGCATCTCTCTAATACTGACACCTCTCTAATATGGACATCTCTCTAATACGGACACCTCTCTAATACGGGCACCTCTCTAATACGGACATCTCTCTAATATGGACACCTCTTTAATACGGACATCTCTCTAATACGGACATCTCTCTAATATGGACATCTCTCTAATATGAACATCTCTCTAATACGGACATCTCTCTAATACGGACATCTCTCTAATATGGACATCTCTTTAATATGGAAACCTCTCTAATACGAAGACCTCTCTAAAACGGAGACCTCTCTAATAGGGAAATCTCTCTAATATGGACATCTCTCTAATATGGACATCTCTCTAATATGGACATCTCTCTAATATGGACACTTCTCTAATACGAAGACCTCTCTAATACCGACACAACTCTAATACGGACACCTTTCTAATACAAACACCTCTAATACAAACACTTTTCTGGCCATTTCTTGAAAAATATTCTATAGCACTCTTACCTGACTGAGATACTGTTTTCTACTTAAATCATGTTCAATAGCCGAGCCAGCGATGACCAAAGCACGGGAAAGTTCTCGCTGTACGAGTGCAGGGAGATCTTTCACATAGGACGTGTTCTCTGCATAATCTTTGGCAAGTTGAGCGATGACCTCACAAGAGAGAGCCGAGTGTGCACTAAAGGTGGAACAAACAGTCAACATTATATGTAGTTGAAAAAGTTAGCTTGTGTGTGTCAAGGGCGGATCTATCGTGGGGGTAGCATCCACCTAGATAAGTTCAGCACCACCTTAAGAAAGTCTGCTGACCATATATTTTCTGCCTTTCCAATAGTGATTAGCGGAACTTCAACTGTTAGCACGTGTCGATTCCTTGAAACGATTTAATTGATTTGTGAGCTCACGAGAAAATACTCAGAATGCTTTAGTTAAATATCATGGTTAAATATGTACACATGTCGAGGTTGTTATACAGCCGTGTTTTCAAATATACAGTACTGTACTTTAACAAGCAAATTTACTGTGCTGTCCTGTTGTGCTACAGCGACTGTCCAGTCACGCATACGTGATAAAAAGTCGCTATAAACTTTATAAACAAAACATAATGTTAAACGTAACAGAACGGCGAACATGCAGATTCGGCCATCTCAAATAATGGTAATGTTGAGATAGTAGCGTTGCAGACTGCAGAGGAGAGTGGGCAGCAAGGCTCCCTCATGCACCATCCCATGGAAAACCTGCACCCCTCCTTGCAGATGAGATGAGACTAGATCCACCCCTACTAGAAGGAAAGTTTAGCATATCACTACCTTGACTTATTGGTCATCAGCGTAACAAGCAACTGAGCTGTATTCTCCAAGACACTGGACTCACTTAACCAACCATGTAGATTACTAAGAACCTTGCCAAGTACAAATCCCACAAACCACCTCGCGCTTTCACTCTCCTTTCCAAATGACGTCACCAAAGGCACGCTGACCTGACCATAGTCGGGCTCAAAAAACATGAGATAAACCTCACAAACTTTGGTTAATATCCAAACAATGTTTCCGCCCAATTCTGGGCTTAATGTAGGGCCCAGTCCTGCAGCGAGCGCCTGTTTTTCCAGGTCAGCCACTTTCATTATAGATGTAATTAATCTGGTGATAGAGTCAATCTTTCTGTTACCTGTAGGATTAAAAATAATTTCCAATTAACACCACGTAATATTAGATAGCCTGATTAGTTCTGTCTAAAGTGTAGTCTCTAAAGATCAGATAAGGGCCATCCTTTATTGATCGAGTGTTATTCTGGAGGAACCTAGATTAAACTATCTTTATTTATATTGGATAACTCTATCAATTCTGAACTGTTCTTCCTAGAGATCCAGTAAGGATCATCTCTTATTGATCCAGTGTTATTACAAGAGGAAACGTACACAAAACTAACTTTATTTATACTGGATAGCTCTATCAGTTCTAAACTGTTCTTCCTAGAGGTCTAGTAAGGATAATCTCTTATTGATCCAGTGTTACTACGGGAGGAAACCTAAACTAACCTAACTTTATTTATACTGGATAGCTCTATCAGTTCTAAACTATTCTTCCTAGAGGTCCAGCAAGGATCATCTCTTATTGATCCAGCGTTACTACAGGAGGAAACCTAAACTAAACCAACTTTATTTACACTGGATAGCCCTATCAGTTCTAAACTGTTCTTCCTAGAGGTCCAGTAAGGATCATCTCTTATACATCCAGTGTTACTACAGGAGGAAACCTACACTAAACTAACTTTATTTATACTGGATAGTCCTATCAGTTCTACACTGTTCTTCTTAGATGTCCAGTAAGGATCATCTATTATTGATCCAGTGTTACTACAGGAGGAAACCTAAACTAATCTAACTTTATTTATACTGTTCTTCCTAGATGTCCAGTAAGGGCTCTATCTTAGTGTTGCATTAGACAAGGAAAACTAAACTACAAGACTCTTAACTATACCACAGATAACTCTATCAGCTATGCCAAAAGGGCCATCCTTTATTGGAACAGGTACCCACAGGAAGAAAACCAAACTAAGTTAATCTATACTGGATATAGCTCTATCAGCTCTGTCTACATTGTTCTCGCAACTGCTCCTAGTTAGGTCTGTATAAAATTCACACTCAAGAATTTCCAACTACAAAACCCAAGTCCCAAGTACAACAGAGTTTACTGCCCTACCAATATCAGCCGTTCCAAGTGATGTCAAATATTTCACAGTGGATTCCAAATGAACATTCTCAGACTCAGCGATAGAATACATCATGATTTCGTCAGGTATCAGAGATTTTTCCCCGCTCACTTCATCACTCAGTATATAGCCAGCAATAAGGACGATCCAATGTAAATCTTCGTAGAGATTTTCCGTCTTCACTGAGTCCACAGCCAATGGTCCTTAAAACCAGACAGATGTATTCTAATATAATAATACAGTATCTTACATTGTCCAGTACTACTATCAGGGGTGGGAAAAGTATCGGAATTTGATATTCAGTCTGTGTAATTATCAGAATTAGCTATCAAAGTTTGTGTTAAAATTTCTACAAAAATGTAGATCCCCAAAAAATTCTTGGAACAAGGTTCCAAGGTTCCCACTTTTTCAACCTGTACTTCTCATAAGCAAATGAGCGGTACCTTTCTCTCTGAGTGTGCATAAATGCTCCATGAAGGTGGCAAGCTTGACTTCTAATAAATGATTGAGGAAAGGCACAGCCTCGCCAAGTACATGACGTGCTAATGTAGCTACAGACGAAAGTTGATCATCAAACTCTTCCAAATCGGTGTCTCGTAGTTCCACGATTTCCTCGAGATCCTGCACGCTCTGCGGGTTTCTTGTGCCCTCGGGTGCTGAGATGTGCGTCCTAACGTACAGGTGTAAGATCTGCAGGCAAGGACCTGATAGGTAGCCTTTGGGGAAGGCGCTGGAACTGGATACCAGGTTGACCCAAGCTACCAAGAGTTGATCGAAGGCTTCCATGTACGATGTGTCGTCACTGTGAAGCTTGAAGGAATAAGACAATTTGATTATTGATCGCAGGGGCAGATCTACCGTGGTGGTACAGGGAGATGTGCACCCCACCTAGTGGTGTCTAGCATCCCCCTAGAGAAGTCCAGCACCACCCTAAAAAAACTTGCTTGACCCCACATTTTCTGCTTTTCGACTAGCGATTATCGGAACTTCTACTGTTAGCGCGTGTCGATTTCTTGAAACGATTTAATTGAATTGTGAGCGCACGCGAAAACACTCAGAATGCTTTAGTTAAATATCATGGTTAAATATGTAAACAAAGAGTAACATCACAAACATCATATTCACCTGAGTACACAACACCAACACAGAAAAAATCATATTACTAGATTACATTGGTATCGAAGGAACCAGATTCTGTTCCGAAATATCACTTACTCGAACCGTCCTGACCGCGTAGCTCAGTTGGCAGGGCATTGGGCTAGTCTTCCAAAGGTCGTAGGTTCGATTCCCACCGTGGTCGGGCATATTTTTCAAGCTCGCCCGGTGTGGATATACACTCAGAGTAACATCACAAATATCATGTCGAGGTTGTTATACAACCATATTATCAAAAATATACTGTACTTGAACAAGCAAATTTACTGTACTGTGCTACAGCAACTGTCCAGTCACGCAAACGTGATAAAAAGCCATATAAACTTTATAAACGAAAGATAATGTAAAACGTAACAGAACGGTGAACTGTTGGGATAGTAGCGTTGCAGAGGAGAGTGGGCAGTAAGGCTCCCTCGCGCACAAGCCCATCCCCCATGGAAAACCTGCACCCCTCCTTGCAGATGAGGCTTGATCCGCCCCTGTCTAACAGACCTACCGTTACCGATTGACGAGTAAGTAAATACATTTTTACCATTTTTTAAAATATTTTGTTAATTCATACATTAAGTCCTATGATCGGTACCATCAATATAACGCCTGCATTAGTACCATACAGAAAACAAATTCAAAAAGCTGACTTACGTCCTCGTTTCTCATTGCTGTCTCCAGGAAACTTTGTGTAAGTTGAGATATAGCGTGCAGGTATGTTTGTACAAGCTCCGTGGGAAGACTGAGTACCAGTGACATTGGGAATACAGTTGTAATGCGATTGACAACAGATGCAAAACCACAAGCTAGCATACCAGATACTTGACCACTATAAGTAAATATTTCAAATGGTAAAAGGAGGCTTGGATGAAGTTTGATTAAGTCTTAGGACTGGATGAAGTTTGATTAAATTCTAGGATTGGGTGGAGTTTGATCAAGTCCTAGGACTGGATGAAATTTGAATAAATCCTAGGACTAGACGAAGTTTGATCAAGTCTTAGGACTGGATAAAGTTTGATCAAGTCATAGGACAGGATGAAGTTTGATCAAGTCCTAGGACAGGATGAAGTTTGATCAAGTCCTAGGTCAGGATGAAGTTTGATCAAGTCCTAGGACAGGATGAAGTTTGATCAAGTCCTAGGACAGGATGAAGTTTGATCAAGTCCTAGGACAGGATGAAGTTTGATCAAGTCCTAGGTCAGGATGAAGTTTGATCAAGTCCTAGGACAGGATGAAGTTTGATCAAGTCCTAGGTCAGGATGAAGTTTGATCAAGTCCTAGGACAGGATGAAGTTTGATCAAGTCCTAGGACAGGATGAAGTTTGATCAAGTCCTAGGACAGGATGAAGGTTGACCATGTACCTGTAGCGTTGCACAAGTTGCAATACTCCTTGCAAAAGACGACCAAGATACTGCACAGTTAAAGACTCATCTGAAAAAATCGTGCCAGTCAACGAAGCAAATTGCGTCAGGCATAGAAAATAACGGTGAACCAATACTTCGTTGTCATTCAAACAGGATTGAAGCTGAAATTTAAAAGATAAACATTCAGTTCTGTAGAAACTGTACACCACAGAGGTCCTACAGGCCGATCCTTTACTGGTACTACAGGAGGAGAACAGAACACCTGGAGAAAACCTACAGTGTTTTTGGTAGAGTCAATCTGAAAGCACTTTTCTTACATGCAACGGAGGTGAAATCATAATAAGATATGTAGATATTGCAGCTAGTGATGCACCGATATGGAAATTCACCGATATTCCGATAACCGATATTAATTAAAGGACCGATATTTTGCCGATACCGATGTCATTTCACAAAATTCAAAGATGACATCATGACAGTTCTACTTTACAGTTGATTTCACAAAACTTTGGCCACGCCAATTACGAGGTTGGTTGGGAATTTGGGAACTACTACTGATAAACACGAGATCATCAAGTTGAGTGGAAACCGGCCAATCAAATTCGGAATAATACAAAATGACTGAAAAACGGCAAACATTTCGCAACGAAACTTCGGAATATCACTAATTTTGTGATGCTCTTTCAAGCTGTGATGAAATGTTTGTCTAGACTTGTCTGGAACAAAATTTTGTTCATTAGGGAATAGGTCTATTGCAGCAATCAAATGCCAGCCTGTAGGCAATATACTTACGTTAAAGAAGATTTCGAGGGCATTGCCATTGACCATGGATTCCTTCCAGCTTGCCCCAGGCTTGAATAAAATCAGTGATGAAGTTTCGTTGTTCCGGGAGTGAAAAGCTCTCAAAGTTAAATTGTTGTTAAAGAAAAACGGCAATAGATTATAGCTAACTTTCAGGATTTTCGGGCATCAAAAATGCGGGGTTATACGCCGTGTTCACAATTACGCGTAGCCAGAAACGTAACTATTCTATATAGGCAATTGCTAGATAGTATACTTCAAAATAAGGTTTCGGTTTTATTTCAATTTATTTTATTAAAATAAGTTAGGGTTGGGGTTGGGGTTAGGGTTTAGTTTTGCGTTAGGATAGTTTTTTCTACGTTATAAAAACGGAAACCTTATTTTGAAGTATACTATCTAGCAATCACCATTATATATATATATATAAAAAAAATTGTCCAACTTTAAAACTTTGCTCAAGGAAAATTGGGTGTCAGATAAGTATTGCGAGGATGCCATGTAGCCCAAAATATATATTTGACTGTTTTTAGTACGCAAAACAATGTCAGGTGACTTGCACTTCAAAACTTTCTATTTAGCTCAGCTGGTGCTAGACCGCGAGAACGTTACTTAAGAAACACGATATTCCTTAACACCGGTCTGAATGTCACACGCTAACCCAAATTCCTAATTTCATTAAATTGTCGAAATTTTTAATCTTCTGAATGGAAATTAAGGGTGTGGATTTTATACATTTATTTAGACTGAAGTTAAAAATTTAATCTATTCACAATAAAAGGATATGATTTTTCGGCGTAAATTCCCAAGATAAAATAGTTTCGGTGATAGACAAAAGGTTACCCAAGACTGCGACGTGTTCTTTGGTGAATGTTGACATTGAGTTGAATGATTGTAAGGCTTGTATTGTCGTAATGAAGAACTGTTGAAGACTGCTACCCTACAATACAATACAAGCACACTCTGTGTCTAAGGGGCTGATTACATGGGGAGTTTTCAGCCCGGTTTCGTCTTGGTGTCCTAGGCTGAAATTTCAGCCCGGCCTAAGGATAAAATCCTATTAAAACACAACAAGTGATTACATGACATCAATTTCATCCCGGTTGACTGGGCTGAAAATCGTCATGTAATTGACAGGAAGTTTCAGCCCGGGTTGAAAAAAACAGCGTTTAAATGCAACCATAGTCTCGCAGAAGTCAAATAATAAACATGAACAACATTTTAAATTCTTAGAAGAAGCAGAATAAGCGAATAGCTCCATTTTCAGACTTGATCACTTCAGCCCAGGCTGACTAAAGGCCGGTTTACACGACAAGCGTTTTGGGCACGGCACCCCTGAAAATGGGCACCGTGCCAAAACCGCCACTTCGCTATTTACTCGTTTACACGACAACATTTTGTAAACACACTTTTATGATAGGCACCGTGCCCATCGGAAAACGGCACCTCTACTTTCCGTTTACGACAGTATATTTTAAAGAATAAATATGTCGGACAGAAATAGAATTATATATTTATATTTATATTTATTGGAACGAAGAAGAGTATTATATGAGCCGAAAATCGAGGGAAAAAACCAATTCAATACTAGAAAAGTACTTTAAAGCTCATATGGGCAAAAGTTATCCCGGTTAGCGATCGGGGTTAGCGGAAAGTTATCTCGGTTAGCGGTTCGACAAGTTTACAAACGAGATCTTGCCTTGGTATGAAAATAATATGAAAAGTTACACTGCGTTCATATGAGACAAAAAGTTTTCCCGTGTACCGAGATCTCGCTTGTTGACAAGCCAAATCTCGGTGACCGGAATAATGTTTTTCCCATATGCATGAACACAACTTTACCGCTTAGCGGGATACTGACTTTCTGTCGTATCAGCATCTTTTCAATTCAATTGATATTCAGTGCGTGCCCATCGGAAAACGGCACCTCTATTTTCCGTTTACGATGGTATATTTTAAAGAATAAATATGCCGGCCAGAAATAGAATTATATATTTATATTTATTGGAACGAAGAAGAATATTATATGAGCCGAAAATCGAGGGAAAAACCAAATAATTCAATACTAGGAACGTACTTCAAGGGCCAGTTCATATGGGCAAAAGTTATCCTGGTTAGTGAAAAAACTTTTCGAAAAGTTTACAAGCGAGATCTCGCCTTGGTATGAAAATAATATGAAAAGTTTGTTTACACTGCGTTCATATAAGACAAAACGTTTTCCCGTGTATGTACCGAGATCTCACTTGTCAAGTGATAATGTTTTTCCCATATGAACACAACTCTAGTTCCCGCTTGGCAGGATAGCTTTCTGTCGTGTCAGTACTGACTTTTCAATTCAATTGATATTCAGTGCTATGTCACAGCCGGAAACTTTACCCGGTAAGCGGAATAACATTTCTCCATGCATGTGGACAGAACAAAAGTATATTTGGCTAGTCGAAAAGTTTTCTCGTCAACCGAAATAACCTTTGCCCATATGAACAGGCCCTTTAAGACGAAAGGAGTTGTTTTCTCGCATAAATGTTGTGCCATCTTGTATTCACCCGCCACGAATTCGAGAGGTATGGACGCATCGAACGACAGCTATTTGCTACGACCTAGTTACTGCTCTCTTCAGCGACGAACAGTGGTATAAAAATTTCCGAGTCAACTAGAGCAACATTCACATTCTGTGTTATTTAAATTTGTTTTTTAACCTTGTTTTTTTTATTTTTGGCAAGTTGTAGTTTTTCCCCGCTTGCTGCCATGTTGGAAAGAAGACAATTTGTTTTGCGCATGCTCGATGTCGAACATATTTTTTATTTTTTTCGAAATTTGGGCACGGCACCCCTTGCTAGACGTGCCGAGACTACCTCGTGAGAAAGTCTCGGCACGTTTAAATTTTGCGGCACCGGTGCCGATTATTGTCACGTTTACACGCCAAAACGCAGAGGTGCCGTGCCTAAAATTTTCGGCACGGGTGCCCATTTTTAGGGGTGCCGTGCCCAAAACACTGGTCGTGTAAACCGGCCTTAACTCATCCCGGGCTGAAATTTGTCACGTAAATGTGAAACAATTTTAGCTCAGTTAACTGGGTTGAAATTCGGCCTGGGCTGAAAACTACACATGTAATCAGTAGTGCTGTGCGCCGGAGTTGCCGGAGTTCTGCCGGAGCTCCGGCGGTTTTTCCGACGCCGGAGCAGAATTTTGTATGCCGGAGCCCGGAGCCGGAGTTACGTTTTCCCAGCTCCGGCAAAATGACAAGAAAACAATATGAAATGAGACAAATGTCAAACGATTGTTAACTGCAAACTGCCAATTGCTGTTAATGAATTCATCATAGACTCAAACTGCCACAGCCCACAGGAACAGCGTCAAAAAGCTGTAATATGATCGCAACTTACAAACGTCATGCTTTCATGAAGCCATCTGACTTAGCGCTACATACTGTAGTCTGTGTATTCATGCCTTGTAGATAACGAAAAAGTACAAAACAAATAAATATCAACCTTTTGAAAATAACAGAGTACTTTGTTTGCGTGCGAACAATTGCGCTGTGGAGTCTGAGAGTGTTAGCGTCATGCCTCGTGTCAAAGATTTTTCGAGGCTGGTTTCCATATAGATATTTTCTGCGTGGTTAAGTGTTTTCACTGTTTTGTTTCCCGAGTTATGTTATCTGATAATTAGAAAGCGCGAAAAGGGTTACTCATAATAATATTAATAAATGTTCTCTGATCGTAAAACATTTATTTAATATTTTATGATGTGGCCGGAGCCGGAGCTCAGAGCTGTAATTCGGCCGGAGTCGGAGATGAAAAACCGGAGTTTGCACAGCACTAGTAATCAGCCCTTAAAGATGTAACAATCTTGTAACTCTACAACTAATTACCATCTAACCAATGGAAAATTTTTGGTAGTGCTGTGCGCCAGAGTTCTGCTGAAGCTCCAGTGATTCAGTCAGCCGGTGCCGGAGTTGTGGTGCTTTCTCCCAGCTCAGCTGGAATGTCAAGAAATGTGACAATTTCGAAGAATTATGGTCATTGGTTACAATAATTACAATATTGATACTACCAGCTAGGAAAGGATTAAATGGAAGAAATGATAGGAATAAAGATATACCTCAAAAAGGGTCTTGCACTTGCAATGAAATTCAAAGCTCATCTTAATATCACTGGACTGACCGACAGATGAATATTCGTATAACAATGCTCTCATCATTGAACATCCTATCAATTTCTAAAACAAAATCATTTGGCTTTAAAATGGACAACTTGCATGTTAGACTAAATTTTAATCTAAGTAAAGAGAAGGGAATTAAAAACCACAGCTAAAAAGAACATAATGAAATTAGTAAAGTTGCAAAATGTTGTAAAGCTTGGAAAATATAGCCTTGCAAAGTTTGCAAATTTTGTATATGTTTGTATTACGTGTGGAAATTGTTACCATTTTTAGCTCAAAAATTGTAACAATTTCCGCACATAATACAAACATACATAAAATATGCAAACTTCTCAAGGCAATATTATCCGTATTTTACAACATTTCGTAACCAAATTTTTTCGTAACCAAAGTTATTTATGGGAATATACTTGCAAGTTGTCTATTAGCATTTCCAAATTTTCAGTGAACTTGTTTACAAAGTGTCATCCTTACCATGTTAAGATCATTGCTTGCAAACAATTGAAGAATATTTGCCATCAAATTTTGAAGTGGATTATGGCTTGCTGTGTGATCCAATGTCCCCCTCTTTAGAATTACCGCTATGCATTGCAAAGATTTTTCGATAACATACTTTTGCAGGCTAGAGAAGTAATCATTGAAACATTAGGTCTTTCAAAATTATTGGGGGGGCAGCCACCCCACTTGGCCCCTCCCCTAGTGACAGCCCACTCAAAATTATATTATATTATAGCATGATACAATAACTTACTTTTTCCGTTCACACACAAAAGCAAGAAGAAAATTCTGCCAGAAATCAATATCGGACTTATTTAAAATTGACCATTCCTTCACTATGGCCTCTTTCAACGTTGTCATGGCTTGGTAAAGGACGTAATCATTATTGCTATGTTCTAAATAAAAATGTGCTATTTAGGTAAAACAATTTATTACAAAACACCAGCCAGTGTGGAAAGTTTGTATATTTACTATTAAATTTGTTAAATTTCAGGTGTGCAATTTTCATTTCCAGTCAGGAACACCAACGAGACCGAGGGGCAAATCACTGATTTAAAACATGTTCACACTCAGAAAAATTACAAAAAAAATAAAAATTTAAAAATCAACAAAAAAATTAAAAAATCATGCCATCAAAAAAGTGCTAAAAAAAGCAAAGAGCGAGAGAAAAAGGTTTTAAAAAAAAAATTTTAAAAAAAATCTGTGGAATGGCCCTGTATATAATTTGAAGTGTCTACTCAGCCGGCAGATGGCTATTCAGTAAACTACTGGCTATATAGTGACTACAGTTAAGCCTGGTTCACATAAAATCGTTAAGCAGTTGCAGACTGTCGCAGACATGTGCCGAATTTTTATATGAATGACCTGCGACGGATCGGGAAAGTTGAACCAAGTTCAACTTTCCCGATCTGTCGCCGATCCGGTCTCAGGCAGTCTGCGCGAATCTGCATTTGTGTTCATATAAAAATTCGGCACATGTCTGCGACTGCTTAACGATTTTATGTGAACCAGGCTTTACATATAAAAACTTTTGTTTGCGCCAATTTTTACTGAGCTTGTCATTAGCTTATACAGTAAAGGTGCTGCGTGCGGAAAGTGAAACCAAGTCCGGGCCGGGATGTGTTTTGTCTGACTTAGCATATATTTTCTTAAAATTTTTTCCACTTTTCCCCCCTCCTTTTCTTACTAAATGGGGTTTGATAAAGGAGTTTGATATCAATTGGGATGCAAGTTCTGTTTCAGACTCCTGTCACAAGTACTAATTATTTTGTTAGTTTTTATTGTTCTAGTGTCAGTTGTAATTGTAAATTTTTTCTTGTAAATGTGACAAATTCATTAAACTAAACTAAACTACTCTCAAAAGGTTAGGTTAGGGTTAGAGAAGGGTTTGGGGGTAGGGATCGGTTTATCTTATAAAAATTCAACTTTAACTATAGTCACTATATAGCCGGCAGTTTACTAAATAGCCAGCTGTATAGACACTTCGTATATACAATTTGTATACAGCTATTTCAATTAAGGTTGTCCGCGAGCAAAGCGGAAAAGTCGAATACGAGCACGAAAAGGCTGAAGGGAATCGCTAACAAATTAATGAATTTTCAAAGCAATTCCCAGCAGCCTTTCGCGCTCGTACTCGACTTTTCCGCTTTGCTCATGGACAACCTTAATTGAAATAGCTGTATATGGAAAATGGAATGGCCCTGTAGGTTGTATATATTTATATAATTTCTTACGAAAAATTTCTTGGCAAAACTTGTATGGACAACTTTGTGCTTTGAAATTGAGGAACACACGTTCAGCTGCGTGTCTCTGTTCTACAGTCACTGAGTGAGATGCCTAGAAAATGAGAAAACTATGTATAGACATATAGTCAAATAGTGTCTCAAATTTTCAGCTTCATAGAAGGTTATATTAAAATGTATGAAACTTCAATACGAGACAACACCTGACAAAATACTTACGAATAAAAGATGTGCGGCATATTCTAGTTCTTGTAGTTTCGGGTTCATTGTTAAAATTGCTTAAAATTCGTCACACGAGGGCTTCACAGTTCACATTTCAACAACTTTTTTTGACAATTAAGCCGCCATCTTGAAAATATCACCCCGACCAGCGGTGTGTTTGACGGCGCACACGAGCCTGCAATACTTCATCTTGACAGAATATAGTGATCCTACCCTGCGACCAGACTCGTCAGAGCCGATTGAATTGGTATATAGAGTCTGCGCAATTCCGTGAAAAAACAATGTTTTGAGCAGAACAAGAATTTTAAACCATCACGTATACAAGAAATTCATTTTATTTGTTTCCACAACTAATTTTCTAAGTAATACCGTACTTTTCTATCAGTGTATGTGTGCATTATTTTACAGACAAATTTGGTTAACGAGTGGTCAGTCATATCTGTCTATTCATACAACACAAAAAATTGTTACAAATAAATTAACTTACAGAATATACGACATATAAAATACTGGTACTTTAACTGGTTACTATGCCATTGTGTAGACTTTCGCAAAGTACTTGTCAAATGGAAAATTTCTGAGGCGGACTTTGCCCAAGTCTGTGTTGTAGCCGAAACACTTTAGCAATCCAGTCAGTAAATGCATACATAGATCAGAGTTTTAAAGAAATGCATCAACATGTCACGACTTTGTCTGAAACCTGCAGACTAAGCCGCCTAAAAACCGACCTACACATAGAGGCCATCACTGGCATCAGACCAACAAGACTTCACACTATGAATGGTATACTATATTTATTATAGTAACGGCTCTGAATATTGGTACATTCCTTTTCTGTAAAAACTTTCGACGTGCAGCGCTATACTGACTTTAACCTGACATTTTTGGTCAGTTGACACTATGGTTTTGACTCAAAACATACTTCGAAGAGAAACTGTCATAAAATATCATGGAATTTTGGTCTTAGGAATTATCTACATGAATTGATAATTCATCTTTAGTTACCTTTCGCAAACAAACTTAAAATCTTACAATCTGTCAACAAGATGTGTTCGCAACAAGCTTGTAGCAAGCTTGTCAACAAGTCCTAACAATGCTGTTATTTTATCAAGTTGCTACAAGGTTGTCAGTCACAACTTGTTGACAAATTGTTGAATTGCAGGACGGTAACAAGTCTGCATGTTGAGCTCAACAACCTTGTAGCAAGTTGTCAACAAGTCGTTGACAACTTGTCAAGAAGCTGGGAACAAGCCATAGAAATAATAGATATAGAATGCGTAACTCCTATCTTTTCTCAGTGAAAAATTTGTCTCCACAAAATGGCGGATTTATAAGGGCACGCATGAGAAAAAGTGGAGACATGATTCGTGATCAAGTACGCATTCTATATCTATTATTTCTATGGAACAAGCAGTGCGAACACATCCTGTCGACAAGTTGTTGGAACAGCATTGTTACAACTTGTGCGTTTTTATGTGTGTAGCAAGGATGTTAGTGAACGGATCATCTTTTTCAAAGAAACCTTAAACTTATAAACTACAGTACCTTATTAAACATGGCAAGAACCGGCTTGTATTTTAGACCTACAGTTATACGACACAAATTTTACGATTCAAAAGACGCGATGAATAATACGAACAATTTACGTTAATCACGATTATCTAATACTAAATCTATCGTTACGTTGTATGATTGTTTTAACTACGTTTTGATTTTAGTAAATGCGTAATTGTATATGCTCTTGAAGTATTCTGTGGGCTAATTTTCCTAATGCCCTTCGTGCAGACTTGGAGACTGTATTTTTTGAAGTAAGTAAAAAAGCTATCGAAAATTTTGTTTGATTTCAGGTTTAAATTTTGAATGCTTAAATTGTTCTATCGTAAAGTTACACAAATAACGTTTCGTTATACAGGGTCAAGAGGGGTAGCGGACAAGGGGAGAGGGGGAGGGGTAAAAGAGGGGGGAATGGGTCAATGAGAGTGTGAATGGAAGGGGTAATTTTCCCCTGGGTTATTGAAATGTCAGGGAGCCCAATTTCAGAGGGAAAAAATGAACGGAGGGAAATTTTGACATCGTACAAACTTTACGATAAAAAGTACTGCCTTCAAAATTCAACAGGAAATTGCAGTATCTAATGTTTGGGCCTGTATGGCTCCATTATAGATTTGGCCTTCCAGATTTTCTGAGCTGCCTTAAAATACATAAGAAAAGTGTTCCAATATGCCCTTGCATAAGATTTTTTCCACCCATGACATAAATGTTAATATAAAAAACAGCAAATGAACGAAAGGAATGGAGTGCAGTAAGAATTTCAAAACAACATTCAATTTCAAAAAATCCCGAGTATTTTTACTCAAAAATTTGAGTCAGAGTAAATGCATTAGCAAAAGCTCAAGTTTTTGAAAACGCTTTTGTGATGAATGAATGTGAAAATTTCACGCCGTATAACAGCACTTTTTTACACTATCAAAGTTTCTGTGATCACAGTAGGAATTTTGCATAGTTAAATTCTAAGTTTTGAAGGATTGTGTACGAAATGTTTGAGGAAGGCGATCAGATCAAGGGTTGGAATAAAATGCGGATACGGACGGACACGGGCGGACAAAAGGAATAAAATACAATGATGCGGACAAAAACAATAAAATGCGGACGGCGTAATGAAATGCATAATAAAATTCTTTAATGAAAACATTAAAATAAAAAAATAACATTAACGTCAAAGCATCGACGGCACAAAGTGCCTCCATCATATTTAAAGCCAACTACTCAAGAATATGATTCCTAAAAGCGCAGTGTTAAACAGTCAGTCAGTTCCTTCAAACATTCTTACAAATCCTTCAAAACTTAGAATTTAATTATGCAAAATCTCTACTGTGATCACAGCAATTTGATAATGTAAACCAGCGTTTATGGAAGTGTTATGCAAAGGCATATCAACAAATTTCTACGCATTCTCATCAAATATTCGGCCTCATTACATTATGTATTACAGTCCGCATTCATGAATCTCAATGAACACATTATTTACTAAAACAATGGCTGGTTACCCGGTACGGGTGCCCCAAACGGGTCATTCACTACCGGAACTCTTTGCTGGGGAAACAAATTAGCCTGCATTGCAGGTTGTTGCATCATGGGCTGCTGCCCGTAAGCCATTGGTTGTGGATATATGCCAGGCTGGACATACGGGGGGCGTACAATGGGTTGGGTTTGCATTCCAACTGGTGGCAAGGTTGGACCAAGGCTGGAACCCATTTGAAAGTGTGCTCCCCCCGTTTTTACCGTTGGTTTTGGCGGCGTCCATTGATGCCCTCTTCCCATTGAACCTGGCGGAGGTCTGATACCAGAGACATTTAGATTGTCTAGAAAATGAAGAAGATTATTAGATCGTTCATATTTTATACTGGGTTAAGCTTGCTACTGTAGGTCGAGAGTAGGGCATGCCTGTTGATTTTATTTTTGTGGAGACAATCTTCAGTATTGGGTATTAGTATTTTTGCACAAGTGAATATAACAAATCCTACAAGTTGATTGGTCAAATTTGACGTATTAAGCTGTTATATTCACCTGCAGGTGAATATAACAAAACCGAAATTTTCAAAATGGTTAGCCGTTTTGTGGACGTTATATTGATTATGATATATGATATATCGAAGCGAAATTAAAATAAATTCAATCCCAAAAAACACAAAAATACTAAAACAATTATTCGTCTCAGGCTCGGTGATTATCGGGGAATATTCACCTCGACTTCGTCTCGGCGAATATTCCCCGATAATCACCTCGCCTTCGGTGAATAATTGTTAAATATTCACCTACAGGTGAATATACCGAATGGTGGCTAGCCATTTTGTGGAAGTTACTGATAAATAAATAAGCGAAATTAAAATAAATTTAGTCCCAAAAAAACAAAAAGACTTGTGTAAAACAAATTTGTTCTCGCTGAAGCCTGAAAACATGTTGCGGCTGCGCAGACGTACACTTATTCACGCAAGATTTGCACCGCATGCGCCAGACAGCATTAGCATATTTATATACAAGAAACGTTTCGATGCAACTTTGAATTGTTGGCAATGATGACATCGCAGGGGTCCTGAAAACAGTTGACATGTGAACTGTCTGGTGACTTTGACCCGGTAGTCTCCAGTACTTCGTGTAGCTTGAGAGATTGACCTTGAGTCATTGAACACTGGGATTGCGAACGCCTGAGCCAACACAGCCTGTACGCAGGCTAGCTGTCCCTCACCCTCAGACAGCCTGTACGCAGGCTAACATATGTGTTATTGAGAACTGAGAGTCCCATGGTGGTCAGTGTGCTTTCCACCATTGTGACTGGATTCTGATTTCTACAGTTGTCAGATTATAATTTCGCCTCACTTGTAGCCTGCGCGCAGTCTTATGACTGAGGGCAGTGATTTCAAGTAACGATCCCCGATAATCGCTCGGGCAAATAATTGTTAAATATTTTGACAATTAGTTTGGCAATCCACACAACCAAAGAAAACAATGCTGCTTGTTTTTTTTTTTAAACAGTGCTTCGAACATTGCTAAAACGTTGGACAAAACAAGTGCTTGGGCCAAAAAAAAATATGTGGGTTTCCCATTTCTTCTTGTAAAAACGTAGGTAGGGTAGGTCGGTTTTAACTTTTTTAATTTTTCTAACAACCGGACGCCATTTTGTTTAGTCAGTGCTTCCACATCCAAAGATAAATTTCCCTAATATTGCCTCAAATTTCCATTTTCCACAAACGTTTTCCTCTAAGTGGAAACACTTACAAGCATGATCCAATAAAAAAGTTTAGGGTCGGGATTTCGGCATCCAAAAGCTAGGCAGGGTCGGGACAAATTTTGGCCTTGCTAACCGTTCGTGTCTATTTCAAATGAGATCTTGGCAAGAAACTGACTCATATGCTCAAAATAAAAAACTCCAGGAGAGTTCACTGGATTTCTTTTAAAGTACAAAGGTACTTTGGCCTTCTCTTCTGTGTGGTTATAATACTCACCTATAGACATGGCGACTTTATTAAGACTGGTGTCCAGGTTTCCCTTATCCACATTACTTTGTGTCTGGTCTACGAGCTGCGGCTGTTGTTTATTCATTGGTTGAAGAATTTCACTTGGACCTCCAGATAGTAAGTTGCCACCAAACAGATTAACACCACCTTGCGCTACACATAAAACAACATTATGGTTATACCGTAAACCCTGGGCTTATATTCGTTTCGTAAGAATTTTGGACGGCCTTACACATGGAGGCAAAAATACGGGGGCGGCTTATATACAATATCCACCTTACCAGATTGATTCGGTCCTGGACTCCATGGACTGGGCTGAGCCGAACTAAATCCACCTGCATTGACAGGCTGTCCACCGGACGGAGGAAATGCAGAACTGTGCCCGAAATCTGGAGTGAACGTTTCGACAGGCTGCAAAAAATATCAAGAGAAATACGTCACAGACCTCATATATTCAGGAAATGTTGGCTCAAAAAATCAGGTCGAGAAAGTTTTGCCGACTTAAGAAAGTAGGTCGGGAACAGGTAGAGTACTAACTAAACTATACTAACACTGGATCATGAGGATATTGTTCCTACTGGACCTCTAGAGAGAACAGTTAAAAACTGATTGAGCTATCCACTATAAACAAAGTTATATTAGTTTAGTTTGAGTTTCCTCCCGTAGTAATACTGGATCAATGAGATGATCCTTACTGGACTTCTAAGAGATGATCCTTACTGGATCTCTACGAAGAACAGTTTAGAACTGTAAAGCTATACAATATAAATAAAGTTAGTTTCGTTTAGGTTTCCTGCTGTAGTGACACTGGATCAATAAGAGATGATCCTCACTGGACCTCTAGAGAGAACAGTTAAAAACTCTGATTGAGCTATCCACTTCCAAATAAAGTTAGTTTAGGTTAGGTTTCCTCCCGTAGTAATACTGGATCAATGAGATGATCCTTACTGGACCTCTAAGAAATGATCCTTACTGGATCTCCACGAAGAACAGTTTAGAACTGTAAAGCTATACAATATAAATAAAGTTAGTTTAGTTTAGTTTAGGTTAACAGTATACTAAAACTGTCTGTACCACCAGTGTTGGTAGTACCAATGTGAAAATGCTGTGCTGAGTGGTTATATTACTACCTTAAAAAATAAGCAGAAACTCGACGTTTCGAGCGAAGGCCCTAACTCTTGACGAAGGGTCTTCGCTCGAAACGTCGAGTTTCTGCTTATTTTTTTAAGGTAGTAATATAACCACTCAGCACAGCATTTTTAGTTTAGGTTTCCTGTTGTAGTGACACTGGATCAATAAGAGATGATCCTTACTGGACCTCTAGAGAGAACAGTTTAGAACTGATAGAGCTATCCAGTATAAATAAAGTTAGTTTAGTTTAGGTTTCCTCCTGTAGTAACACTGGATCAATAAGGGATGATCCTTACTGGACCTCTAAGAAGAACAATTTAGAACTGATAGAGCTATCCAGTATAAATAAAGTTAGGTTAGTTTAGGTTTCCCCTGTAGTAACACTAGATCAATAAGAGATGATCCTTACTGAATCTCTAAGGAGAACAGTTTAGAGCTATCTATGCAGTATTAATAAAGTTATGGTGTTCTCTACAAACACAACACTATAACATCTTATTCTTTACATATACAACTTACTTTAGGTGCTGAAAAGACTTGGTGTAATGCAAGTAAATCATTGTTGTTGTTTGTGTTTTGGCTTTGTATGTGATTCACAGCAGTGTTTGCTTCAAATGCTGTACTCCATGCATCCTGTCTACTGGATGGCGTTTGTCTGGTGGGTGCTGCCTGTAGCACCACCTCCTGCTGTTTCCTTACTTCCTAAACATAAAGTTTAGAAAAGATTAGAGCATGTCGGGTACACGTAGAACAGTGCCAGTGACAGACATTAAAGGGGCAGTGTCACGGTTCTACAGCGCATCCAAAATATGCGCGCACTTGAAAAACTGTCTGCCAACAATGAACGACTTGCGCTTTAGACTAAATTTTAATCTAAGTAAGAACAACGAAATCTATCACCACAGCTAGAAAGAGCGTCCTGGAATTAGTAATATTACAAAGTTTGGTTGCGAAATGTTGTAAAATACGGAAAATATAGCCCTTCAAAGTTGGCAAATTTGTATACTTTTGTATTACGTGCGTGAATTGGTAACTAAATTAGTTACCAATTTCCGCACGTGATAGAAATGTGACAAATTCGCCAACTTCGCAGGGCTATATTTTCCGTATTTTACAGCATTTCGCAACCAAACTTTGCAGATTTTCTAATTTTGATAACTTCTTTCCAAAAATATCCTTTGTTATTCCCAGATTAAAAATTTTTCTAAAGCGCAAGTCGTCCATTAAGCCAGTATTCCACTTCAATCGTATTGTCCGAAACGTAGCGTATTTCTTTGTTTTCTGACCACTAGAGTGGAACTAATGACTTCGACACCAAAGAAAATGCCACGGTACGTTACGATACGGTGGAGTGGAAAACAGGCTTTAATCAAGTTAGGAGTGAAATACGATACACTATTTAATCCCTTCGTTATTCAGGACATCCTTGCTTTGTTTTAAAAATTGGAGGCTGCTGCATCTTTTCCAATCATGTAGCATTAGCTTTAAACGTTTCGCCGTTTGCGACGTTTATTTTAGCCAATCAGCGTCGTGACACTGCCCCTTTAAGGGAGGGGGGGGGGGACTGCAACTATTTTCACACAGAGTCCATTTCATAAAATGTGCTCTTCCATGGAGCCGTGCACACTAAAATATCTAGTACTACATAGTATTATTACAATTACACCTACAACTTACTAATATTATTCACAATACTAAAGATAGAAAAAAATCAGGATTGTCTAATTTTGTTTTTGAAATTTCGAGCGGATGTAGCATTTACAGCTTCGACAGGTATAGGCTATTCTACAAGACGGTTCCTCTACACGTAAAACGTTTCTTACATGACTCAAGTCAAAGGTCTTGGGACAAAAAGCTTCGACTCTGAGTTACGCAAATTGTAGTTGTGCATTACATTAGTTGGTATGTTTCAGAACCATCCTCAGAGATACGAAAAACTAGTTTCATATTAATCTGACACTGCAATCGAGCAACGAAAAATTCGTTGGCTCGAGCGGGATTTGAACTCGCATCTTCGGGTATCTATAGACCGCCGCTCTACCTATTGAGCTATCGAGTCAACAGGGATTGGTAGCGATCTTATCCAATTTACTGTAAGTGCACGAAATATTTTCGTGACGACTTAACGCTTGTCTTGAGGGCGCGCAGTGTTTCAATTCTATTTCAGAACAGATTAATATTTTGCAGTGTCAGATTAATATGAAATTAGTTTTTCGTATCTCTGAGGATGGTTCTGAAATAGAATTGAAACACTGCGCGTCCTCCAAGACAAGCGTTAAGTCGTCGCGAAAATATTTCGTGCACTTACAGTAAATTGGATAAGACTCGCTACCAATCCCTGTTGACTCGATAGCTCAATAGGTAGAGCGGCGGTCTAGATACCCGAAGATGCGAGTTCAAATCCCGCTGGAGCCAACGAATTTTTCGTTGCTCGATTGCAGTGTCAGATTAATATGAAACTAGTTTTTTAGTTGGTATGAATTTGCTTGAAAGATAGTCGGGCACCATTTTGTTAATCGTTTTTACATTAAGATCTCAAATTGCTGTGAACGTCTTTTCTATATATAGGTTATCCTAGTTTAGCGAGAGTTCAAAATCTCAGCTGATCAAAATATCTCAGTTGTCAAGTGTTCCATTCTACTTTTGCACATAATTTGCGAACGTATATATATTAGACAACTTAAAGTTTGTTCGTTCATTGCAACCAGGTATATCAATTATGTTTCGCTCGCTACTCTGGTTCCTACTTCGACTATTGTTCAGAAGTTTGGGATGTATTGGGTGAAATACAATCAAAACGACTACAAAAGCTCCAAAACAGAGCTGCTCAAATTATTTCAAATATGAGCAATGACGTAGATCACACTATTGCTTTGTGTGCCTTGGGCTGGGAACCACTTGATATTATGAGGAAAAAGGCAAAAGCAAAAATGATGTACAAAACTCTAAATAAAACAGGCCCTGAATCTCTCACAAACCTCTTTCGTTACAAAAATGAGATAACAGATTATAAACTTCGAAATATTTCATCTGGTCTTTGTCTACCACAACCACGCACCAATAGCATGAAAAATAGTTTCATGTATGATGGTGCTAAACTATGGAACTCTATCCCAAATGAAATCAGGGAAAGTCAATCCCTGTCAAGCTTTCAAAAGAAAATTGCTGCACATATTTTCTAAGACTACTTGTTCTACTACTTGTAAATAATTATTCTACCATTCCTACTATCTAGCTAATTTGTACTTCTTGTTACTATACCTCATATTTGTAAATAACTATATTTATGTAATATTTCGCTTATACTACTGTAATTTTTCTTATGCATGACAGGCCCCCTATGGAAATTGATAGGGTTAGCGTGGGTAAATAAAGCTTTCTATCTATCTATCCAAATAAATGATTACAAAGCCCAGTCGAATTGTAATCAAGACCCAACGTTTCGACACTCCAGTCTAGTGTCTTCATCAGGGGTGATCTAAAATTGCAATCGTGGCTTCTTAAATACCCAAGGGATGACGTCACCTGCCAATGAGATGTATGTATTCCTCTGGCAAATAGGCACTGTCATCCCTATTCAAAGCATGATTGCTCATGTTTGGGTTTTTTTGTGTTTTTGAACGAAAACATTATAACATATTGATTTAGCAAGATCAGATCTTATTCACAGGTACTCAACTGGTAGCCTTTTGGGCGACTAAAATTTTTTTTAAATTTCAACCCCTGGAGCAAATCGACATTCTACCTTGAATGAATTTAATCTATGTTCTTCTTCTTTGATCAATTCTTCCTTCTTGTAGTCCTCGAATTTGATTGGATTGTTTAAACTTTCTGTCGTTAATTGAGGCACGTTGATTGGCTGCAAATTGGGACGTCTAAATGCAACGAGAAACAACGAGTAACATGTGGTTTTGGAATGTACTCTCAAAATTTTATTTTACACCGGGTCCCCCAAAAAAACTTGACATTGTTTGATTTCATTTAACGTAAAAGCTATAAAAGCTGTCACAATGAAATAAAGATCACTGCCTTCAGAAAAGACTAACTTAGATTTTGATATATAACACTTCAATTTACATGCACAATTGAGCGAGATATAACCAAAATAAAAATATTTATTATTTAACAAGTATAACTACATCGATAATTATAAGGTTGTTCTATGCTAATTTTTGGCATTTTCAAAAACAGTAGTTCAACGTTCAAACATCAACAGCGCAGTCAATATTGCATGTAAATTCAAGTGTTACATATCAAAATCTAAGTTAGTCGTTTCTGTATGCAATGATCTTTATTTCATTGCGATAGCTTTTATAGCTTTTACGTTACATGAAATTAAACAGTGTCCATCACAAGACGCCTAAAATTGCAAGTGTTAAACAGGTTTTAAACATTATCCATTCTTACTTGGAAGATGCAACGGGAACCTTCCCCTTTTCAAGAGACTGGTAATGACTTTCTAACGCTTCCATAAGACTGCTCGGAGCCTGAAAAGAAAACAACACATTTTAACCTAACATTAAAAGCACAGTAATTTTAAAACAAGGCAATTCTATTTTTTTTTTTAAAAAATAAAATTTTTAATTAAAGTGCCTATGCAAGAATTTTTTATGATTGAATTGCAAAGTTCATTTAAAGTCATATGTAACTTTTTTCCTAAAACTTTGTCGTATTTCCTGTATATCAAGATATTTGACTTTGTTTGGCATGCAAATGTGACTTAAATGACGTTATGAGTTCTTAGAAAGATAACGCTTCCTTGCCAAACATGTGATAATTCCACTGACATTGAATGTTATATACTTTAAGAACTATATTTCGTCTGCAAATTTAAGTTAATGACAATTTTATCAAGCTAAAAACAGTCTTCTGTGACGTCATTTAAGTCATATTTGCATGCAAGACGTCATTTAAGTCATATTTCCAATATCTTGATCTACAGGAAAGATAACAAAGTTTAATTAAAAAAAAGTTGCATTATGATTTTAAATAAACTTTGCAATTCAATCATAAAAAATTCTAGCATAGGCACTTTAAAATTTAGTCACTTCATTTACCTTGGTGAGATCAGGGATGTCTGATGGGTTAATTCCAACATCCTAGATGTAATATACATATATTCAATGATTTAAATAGAGAACAATTTAGCATGAAATGGAAGGACAAAAATGATTAACTATTTAAACACGACAATTCTGAAATTATTCTTGTATATTATTCTCACGTTCTGTTAAACAAAACTGTGACAATCTGTTTCTTCCTTTCTACCTATCCTTGCTCTGCATGACAGAAAACATTCCTATGGTTTCCTATTTTAAAATGCTATTAAAAAGATAAATAGAAAACTAAAATGCCATCTATTGCAAAGATATCTCATTCCTCAAGTACCATATAGTATGTGTTCATCATATACCTAATCCAAAATATTTCTTAAAACGCGATGCGTTCTCACAACAAAACTTAAATATAACATTTGGATCTTTTTAAAAGCAAATCAGCCACGTACATAATTTGTTACTTTGTCTTTAACTTTAGACTTTTTCGTGGAAAGTTTAAATTTTTACTGCTTTATAACTTTGTAATGATTGCCTGAAATTTATATGTACATGTAATCCAATTTATCATTAAACATGCTTCATTAACAATTAAAAAACAGTAGTTTTATATGTGATAAAAAATCATGTTAATTTACATAAACTTTAGCTTTGATTTTCTCGGTTTTTATAGACAATGTTTATTTTGAACTCATAAGATGGGTCGTTTTTAGGCCATTCAAAACACTTGCATGGCATTTCGTGTGCTTTGTCAGATATAAAACACTCGGCATTTTATATATATACAGGTATATTAACACTCGGTGTTTTATATCATTCTGATAAAGCACTTTTGCTTGTGTTTTAAACAGTACATAATAACATATCATTTACAAGTTTAAGATAAATATGTAGGCAGTAACCTATTTGGGTATTTTAATCGTGTTAATTTCTTGAAGCAAAATCTTAGGCTATTTATATTATAGTAATTTAGTATATTTAATTAATTTAGTAATTATTTTAAAATTATACATTTATTTATATTTATTAATTTACTGATATTTTATTTATTTATTTAATTCGCAGTTACCTTTGATCTCTGTCCATAAAGCGTAAAGAGTTCTGTCAATCTATAGTCCTATCACGACAACCAACAAGACACGTGATAAAATATTATCTGACTGTACACAATTAATTTCACGAAATTGTTTTTGAAATATACGGAAAAATATCATGCCTCAATGTTTGTGTATTTAAATATTGCCAAAAAATCGGCTCATAAGACATAACAATTATACCTTCTGACTTTATGTCATAAACCCATGCATGAAAAAACAATCATAACTTCATTAACAAATCTATACAGGCTTTTGGCCCCACTATATGTTTTGTAATGTATTGTAGTATTGCAAGTTTCAGATTGTTATACTAGATAAAATGATTATCCTATCGTTTTAATCCATTCATATTTGAATTATCAAAATAAGCATCAAATATAAATGGGGGCATTTTTTTGAGACAGCCTGTATATAGTCTACCGACGGCATGAACTCTAAGACTGAGCTAACGTATACTGTAATTTGTATCTGAAAGCTGAATCTGTTTCTTCTAAGCGTACTGAACTAATGCTCATTGCAACAACCTACGCTAACAAGGGGCAGCTGTGAAAAATGCAACTATCGACCATCTGGCAGTTATCGAACCTGCGGCCCTGCGATTCTGGTGCAGCGCTCTAAACAACTGAGCTACAGAGAGGCAGTTGTCGAGCAGCGAGCTCTAACCACAAGTTCATGTACAAATTACCTTAGAGCTTCACGACGGTCTCTCTGTAGCTCAGTTGTTAACAGACTATGTACAATGAGAATATAAAGGATATTGTAGTACAAGAAGAAGCCATTCATTTCCTACCTCAGCCACTTTGAGGAATTCTTTCACACTATCCATTCTTGATAGAAACTTTTTGTAGATTTCCAAAGCTTCTTTGCAGCTTTTCTTATTCATTTCAAAAAATTTTTCTACAGGTCATACAGAACATTCCAGCTTATAACATGTCTTTAATATTGTACAGTAGATTTCTTGATGGCAAAATGGTTTACAGTGGTTTAATCAGTGGTCGACACTTCACAAAATATTGGGGGAGGAGGCGACATTTTCAACGTGTATGCCAAAGGGGTTTTGGTGTCCGTTTAAGGCTCTAAGTTATGCAAATGTTTAGCGTTAGGGTGGGGTGTGTAGTAGTCAGTGTATATAAACATATACTTTAATATCAAACAACAATATAAACATTACATGAACAATAAACACGAATCAAATATGGTTTTTCTTCTACGACATTATCCTATAAACTAGCGGCCATTGAGAGTCCATATGCTCTCTACCTGTTCGCAGGTTGTACCTCCCTAAAATCCTACTACATTCCATTCCTTTTTAAAAAAAGAGAACATATGTTTGGTAATATAAACGTATTTAGCTAACAAGGAAGACACTTGTTCTTATAACAAACACAAAGTAATTGTAAATCTTCAAGTTGCTTTTGAGCGTTCTGTCCAATCTTATACTTATCGTCTAACTCAATAGAACATAACACTCTATTTGACTGTACAAGTTCAGTAGCAGGTGCATCTTCTACTTTAACTTGTCTCAGGGCTTTGTTCCACTTTGTCTTCTTCGACTTTCTATCCCAAAGTTGTATATCGTACACGTCTTCGTCTTCGTAGTAGCTGACGATTCTTCCTATACCATAGCGTCCTCCTAGACGGTCTAAATGGTATTTCACTGGTTGACTGGCATCCAACAGTTTCAGAGAGTTTTTTCCACCGGTTGCGTCAGGCATTTCAAACTGTATCGATGGTGTATGAATCAGCAACTGACAAATTCCACCAATGCTTTGAAGAATCTTTTTGAACTCGGGATTTTTTGTGTAAAGGTATTTGCACGCTTCTCCGGTTGATGACTTATAGTCTTTTTGTGATTTTAACCAAGCATGCAGTTCTTCGATCATGATTCTTATGTCGTCATCAAAAAAGTCTCCAAACTTTTCGTAGACAATAAACGAACCATTCTCAAACTGCGGGTTGCGATGGGATTGTGAGATTTCGGTCGGGGTGTCCTCTTCTTCGTTTGGATTGGTTTGTTCGGGGTTAGATTCGTTGACTGACCAGGGTTCAACTTTGATCAATTTGTCCACAAGACAAGGGGTCACTTGTAGACCATGTTCCGTTTTCTTTTTAATCATTAAACAAGGGGCACCCCAGGGAGATGTTGATGGTTCTAAAATGTTTTGTTCAACCATTTTTTGAATTTCTCGTTTGATAAGCTGTAATTGAACAGGAGAGTGGGAATATGGCGTTGAGTATTGGGGTTTAGCATCACCAGTCTCAATACTGTGTTCGACATGGTTAACTCCGCGAAATGGAGCTCCTGGTAACATAAAAACATGGGCGTGTTCGCGAATAAGAGACTCAAGTTCAGTTTTTTGTGTAGTGGTGAGATTGCAATTGTCATGCAAATGGATGGCTTCAACAACCATATCTTTGTAATCTTCAGAGAATGGATCCAACGTGGTGTCACTTAAAGGAGGTAAATCACGGCTCTCATCACTCAATATCAAATGATTTGCACAGTAAAGGTTAGTTAATTGACTAAAACTTGGTTCACTGTTTTTACGAAATGCACTATTCATCTCTTTCTGGGCATGGAGTGGGTTAAAACTTTGAAATGGATGGGGTAAAGTATCATGACAAACTTTTGCTTGCTTGTGTTGAGCTTTACGGTAAAGGTTTTGATGTAATTGTACTTGCTGAAGTTGTTCAACAGCTTCACAAGCCATATCTGAGGCTGTTTCGGATGCTGCTTGTGAGAAGTCAGCTTTGTGTTCATCAGTCATTGGTGTGATGTCGGCAATCACACCAACAGGTAAAGTCTCGGTATGCTTGCTTTGGTTATATACAGCAAGGTTGACATAAAACTTCTGCTCTGGTTCAATTTCTACATTGTTGGATTCTTCAAGAAACTTGCTGCTACTGCATTTAACATTGACAAAAGTGGTCTTAAATGCATTAGTCTCATGCTGTATTTGATCAAGGTTAATCGGACCAGGAATAACATGTGCATATGTGGTGGTAAAAAGAGGGCTAGCTTCAATCCAACTTCGATTACCCAATGACTGTATTGTGTCGGCTATCATACTAGACAAGGCAGGTGAAAGGATCATACTGCCAATAGTAGCAACAATTACACAGACTTTGATAATGTTAATCCCAGGTGATAGTTTTTGAGGGGTTTCTACTACTGTACTCAAGGATACGACATTGGTTTCGACTCTTCCAGAAGGACGGACAGGAGGTTCCCGTGGGCACTTTATAGCAAATTTCATTTGGGGATGTGTAAAACTTACAATTCGTTCTTGGTGTTTAACAATTGCATCTGTGGATTCCAAATGATTGTTACCAAACAAAACATGCCAAGCTAACTTGGGTACAACCAACATGGTATGTACTGAAGATTTCCCAGGGCCCCAGGTAATAGGAATATCTTGTAGGGCAATCCCTTGTAAAACAGCATCTTCATTAGCAACATTAATTGCAACTGGCTTGGTAAGCTTAGTCATTTTCAAGTCTGGATGCATTTGTTGGACACGTTCAGCATGGATCAAACTACAAAGCGACACTGAGCAACAACTATCAAGAGGCAGCGAAAGTTCAACACCGGCTGATTTTACTTTCGCCCACATTATATACTTCTTGCTCAAGTCAGGAATTTCAACAGAATCAGCTGCAACGGATGGCATGCCAAATAGGGGATAATCACTGGCTGGTGGGTTATTGTCAGCAGGGGTGGTGGGTGGGGTAGGGGGTTTTGGATTTGGAAGTACAGTTTCCAATTTAGAGCAAAGACTATCAAATTGTGCCTGAAACTTACTTGATAGCTTTTCTTCCAGTTGACTTTGTGTAGGCAACTTATCTTCTTTGTGCAACAGTTGTTTACATCCCTTCTTTTTGCAAACCAGACACACATGTTGTCGATGAAACTTGCATTGATTATCAGGAAGTAAGCAGCGAGGAACAGCCCGTTGATTCCACTGGAGGCACACTTCGGTTTGACTGGTAGTATTTCCACAAAATGTTTGTTTTCGTTCTTGGTTTGTCCCAGGATTGTACAAAGCAGGACAGTTTCTTTTGAAATGACCAGGTTGATTACAGTTGTAACAGGATTTGGGTTTTAACATAGCTTTGTCTTCACGAAATGGGTCAACATAGTCTGCTGAAAGGAGAGGTAATGGGGGAAAACTTTGTTCAAATCTGTTAGCAGCTTCAATAACTTCCGATAGAGAAGAATACTTGGCGTCTCGGCTCATCAGAGCTTTTCCAATTTCCGGTCGAAGTTTTATCAAAAATGCATGTCTCAGTTCGATATCATCATTCGTGCCTGTATAGTGTATTCCAGGAATACATTTCTCGAGTTCGTGTTGAATGTCACAGAATCGATGTGCAAAAGTTGAAACAGGTTCTGCTTTACTTTGTTGGAGGTTGTAGTAGACTTGAAGTAATTCACGTATACGTTCATCTTTAGGTTTTCCACGTTTCTTAACTAACGATGCTTTGACAAGGTTAAAGTACGTTTCATACTGTTCGATAGTAATATTGGCAGGGTCCTCTCCAAGAGCATGTTTACATTCTTCTTCAGCAAACACAACAAAATCATAAGCACGTAAATCTTGCTGCACCTGTTGCTTAAGATAGGTTGTCCAATGTTTAGCTGGAACTCCAGAAGATTTTAATAGCGTCGTAAGCTGGTCAAGAAAACGGTCAAGTTGTTCGTCAGGCTTACCTGTATAGCGAGGTAAAACCACTTGAGGCAACTTCAAAGTGTCAACATGGCTTGAACTTGGGGAATTTGTGGCTAAATCTGCGACAGTTTTCGCGAGTGCTTCGATGTGTTGTCGATTTGCTTCTTGGGCATCGTGTTGGTTTGTTAGCTGGGACTTTACCACGTCAGCTAGTCCTTTAACGATCCCTGTGAGTTCCTCAACTGTCGTCATACTGTATTTAGTTCTTGTTACAAACGATGTAGAAAATCCTCTAAAATTCTGTTAAAACGATTTGCATCCTCCACCAATTGTAGTAGTCAGTGTATATAAACATATACTTTAATATCAAACAACAATATAAACATTACATGAACAATAAACACGAATCAAATATGGTTTTTCTTCTACGACATTATCCTATAAACTAGCGGCCATTGAGAGTCCATGTGCTCTCTACCTGTTCGCAGGTTGTACCTCCCTAAAATCCTACTACATTGTGAAACGCTATAAAACGTGCAAGCTGGATAATTATTCATTTTACAAAATACGTATACCCCATGGGCCCCACCAATCGCAGAATGTAAAAGCACCTCAAGTCCTATGACAAGCGCAGTCTCTAACGATTGACCAAGTACAGGTCAAGTCCACATCAAAAACAGTACCTAAAGGTACGTTAGAAAGTTTGATTTGAAACCTTCTAAATGAGACGAGACTACTAAAACTACTACTCGGTGCAACCTTACATATAGAGTTCCACATCCTAACAATACGATTAAAATACGAGGCTTTAAAAGTACTTGTTTTACAAAGTGGAGTTTTTAAAACTAGAGTTGAATTACTATTAAGACGTGTCCGTTCGTGAGTGACAAAAGAGACATAGTCCAGTACATTTAAATCATATAAACCATGAAGAGCTTTGTAGAAAAATATAAGGTCTCTTACTTCACGATCATAACACAGAGGTAACAGATGAAGACTAGTTAGTCTGTTAGTCTGTCTCTGTAAGTAACGTCTCCCACCTTCACTCTAAGGATACGTCTGCTGGCACGTCTTTGCACTTGTTCCAGTTTGATCTTCTGGGAACAATGGTGAGGGGACCAGACTTCACTAGCGTAGCAAAGTTGTGACTTCACGTGAGCCAAATATAGTGTTCGCCTTACCATTACATTCATCAATAGAGGTTCTCTTGAGCAACCCCAGCATCCTATTTCCTTTAGCAGTTATCCTATGAATGTGGGAGTCCCAAGACAAGTTTTTTGACATTAATATCCCGAGATCTTTTTCTTGGTCAACGTTGACTATGATAAACTAGTTAAGGTGGTATGCAAAGGTGACAGGACGTTTCTTTCGAGTAATTGACATCACCTTGCATTTACTCCAACTCGTCAAATTACACAAAGCTTGCTGTAGTTCTTGAGCATCACATTCAGACGTTATCCCTCTGAAGGAAAAAAAACTAACACTATTATACAAAATCAAATACAACCTTATTAATGTCACCTTTAACCAATACCTTACACCTGCAACTAACCCCTATGCCGCGCGCAACTTCGACCCTAACAACTATAACATAATCGTCTCCAATAATCAAGAATTCTTCCGACAATCCTATTTCCCACGCACTGTCATTCTCTGGAACAATCTACCACCGAACATCAAAGCCGCCCATTCCCTACAGATCTTCAAGCACCATCTACAATCTTATTACAAAGCCAAACTGTTTACCTACATACCACCATAGTTTATAATCTTGTTCTAAAATTCGTTGTACAGTATCCTATATGTTAAGTTCCATGTAATCTGTGATATGTTCGTGCATAATTGTCCTAGTACGTCTCGTTATCCATTAATTGTTAAGGGGTCGAATATCAATTGGAATTTAGTTTCTGTTTTCTTCTCCTGTCGCAGCATTCTCTAGTTATTGTTATTGTTATCTCTACGTAAATGTATATCTTTAATGTGTGTGACAAAATGAATAAATAAATAAATAAATAAATAAGGGTTTGGTGTCATGAGCATATAAGGCAACCTTTGTTTTTTGTTGCACGACATTTGGCAGGTCGTTAATAAATAGTACAAACAGCATTGGTCCAATTATGCTACCCTGAGGAACACCTGAAGTAACATAGTGTCCAGTCAGAAGCTACCCCGTTCATAACAACTCTTTGAGTCCGATTAGTAAGATTGTCTTGAAACCAATTAAGCATTCTCCCTTTCACGCCGTAACACTTGAGTTTTGTCACTATTAAACTATGATCGACCGAGTCGAAAGCTTTGGCAAAATCTAAGTATAGTATATCAGTTTGGATGTTCTGGTCTAAGTTCTGCCCGATTGAATGAAGCACTCGTAAGAGTTGAGTAATACACGAACGATTCCTTGCAAAACCATGTTGCAACGGAGAAATAGCACTTATCATATGCTCATAAAGTCTTCTACCTACGCACTGTTCCAACAGTTTGGCAATCACAGGAAGAAGAGTTATGGGTCTATAATTTTCCGCATGCTCCCTTGATTCTTTTTTGTGTATGGGAGTAATGTCAGCAGCTTTCCATTCCGACGGAAGACGGCTGACGGCCTATACGTAAGGAGTAGTTAAATAATTCGCACAGACTGGGCGCAATCTGGAAACTGTACTCTTTTAGCAGACGAGCTGAAATACTATCAGGACCACACGCTTTCGTTGTATCTAAAGTCCACAGTTACTTGAAGCTCTTCAAATTCAGAGCATAAGTTCTCTTCAGGTAGAAGATTATATCACGATCCGCACTTACGGTCGGTTTAGAAAACACCGAGGTAAAATAGGCGTTGAGAAGTTTTGCTTTTGCAAATGAATTTGTTCCTGTGGTACCATTGTAAATAATTTTGGAAATCTGATTTGTTCTTTGATGGTGGTAACTCCAAAAAGATTTGGGATTAGTGTTCAAGGATTCCTCGATCTTGGTCAAGTACTCACGATGTTTCGACTTAATTAAACGTTTAACCGCTTGACTAATATCTCGCAGTTTTCTCTTGAAGAAATCAGTCTTATTATTTCTATATCTTTTTAAGACTGAATATTTTTTCGAATTAGTTGATGGACTTCTTTGTCTATCCACGGCAGGGAGTTAATGGCATTGATATAATTTATTATCTCTCGTTTATTTCGCTTCTTGTAATTACAGGATTAAATTGTAAGCGATTTACAAGTTTATATTAACAATAAAATATTTACAAAGCAATAAAATTATATAAATATACTATATAAGGAACAGATATTATAAAATAGAAATTTTTGTTACTATTTATATCTATATGTTAAAAATTTTTTACATCTATCAGTCCGGATCTTTCTTACGCCTATTTGGTTCTGATTTCCTGATCTTAGGTTATAACCGTGTGTATTCGTATAGTATGTTTTTGTTAAATGATGTAGAGTATGGGACGGATCTTTAAGTTTATTTATATACTTCTTACATAAGTCTACTCTCCTGTCTTTAAGACTTTCCAATTTAGAGATCTTTAATGCTTCGCCATAGTCACTACCAGGATATATAATCCAGAGAGCTCTTTTCTGTACTCTTTCCAACTTGTCACTTAGATACTGTGGGAAGTCAGACCAGGCTTCAACAGCATATTCTAGAATAGGTCGAATCATCGACTTATACACTAGAACAAGTTCCCTTTCCTGCAATCCAGCCTTCTTTAGTACTCTTAATGCATACAACCTTTTACACGCCTTTTTTGTTTTGTCGTCAACCTGCGTATTCCATTTAAGATTACTTCCGAGCATATAACACCTAACAATTTGTACGCATCAACGGATTCTATTTGGGTACCATTAACGACTAAATCCCTACTTAATATATTCGGGTTTGTCATAAAATTTACAAACATCTCCTTGCATTTCTTGGGGTTCAACTTCATTTTATGGTCCATGCAATACTGTTGAATTTCTCTTGCTACCAAATCCATCACACTTATTGAGTTCCGCGGGATTGTTTCTACTACGACTAAATCGTCAACAAACTTTGCTCTTCCTGGCCAATTTTTAACTAAGTCATTAACCATTATTACAAATAATAACGGGCCTAACTTTGTGCCTTGCGGTATTCCTCCTTTAGGATATTTCCACTCAGAAAGGACTCCATCTACCCTTACTCGTTGTTTACGGTTTGTTAGAAAGGCTGCAATCCACCGTATTAGGACATCGCTTACTCCGAGTTTTGCAAGTTTGGCGAGCAGAATGTTATGGTCAATTAAGTCGAAGCCTTTTGTAAAGTCAGTAAAGAAAATCCTAACAGCTGTATCTCCATTATCTAATGCAGTATGAATATTGTGTAGAATACTCACTAGGGCGTCCTTAGTTGATTTTCCTTTGTTTGCAAATTGTTTAGTATCGATATGGTGTTCAACTTCGGGCATTAATCTATCTAAGGTTAGACTTTCAAAAACTTTACTTATCTGACATGTAAGGCTAATGGGTCTAAGATCTTCTTCGATTGTTTTTGGCGGTAGTATCTTGGGAATTGGAACAATAGTTGACGCTTTTAACAAGTCAGGAACATAGGCTTGAGTTAACGTGGTGTTGTAAATATCTGCGAGAACGACGCTAAGCTCTTGGGAAAACTCTTTTAGGATTCTGTTATTAAGCTTATCAGGGCCAACAGCCTTCCTACCGTTTACCGCATTCAGCTTTGTTTCTACTTGGTGGGGTGTGGCTTTTAAATTTGGTGGCACGAATAGTTCCCGGACATCTAGAGACTGAACTAAAGGCTGGAAATCTCTAGTCAGTTCCGAAAAGAAAGTGTTTATTTCATTCGCTAATTCCAAGGGAGTTGTATGTCCGGTTTGCCCCATTAAGTACTGACTCCATGGAGGGGAGGCTACTTCACAAGTTAACTTCTTAATTGTTTTCCACCATTTAAGGCCTGTTTAAACGGATCCAACATTGTTGGACCAACATCATCCAACAATGTTACTATACTAGATATGACTGCTTCTCTTTCAAATCTTTTTGGTTAGATAAGCTTTACTCAAACCCTAAACCTAGTCTTGACAAAATATTTGAAAAAGAAGCCGTTTGAGCCATTATTTCAACAATGTTGGATGATGTTGGCCCAACAATGTTGGATCCGTTTAAACAGGGCTTTACTTATGTTTGATCCGATAAAATCGTTCATCTGATTTGCATAAAAGTCTCTTCTGCATGTTTTCGTTTTCGCCCTAATTTTATTTCGCCATTTCTTATACTCGCTAGAGAGTTTTCCATACTGACAAAAGGCCTTTTGTCTTTTCTTAATCCATTTCTTAATTTGATTTGTTATCCATGGCTTATCGCTTTTGTTCACTTTAGATCTTTTTAAAGGCAGGAACAAATCTATAGCGCTATTCATTTTCTGCATGAAATTATCATATTTACTTTGGCAATCAGACTCGTTTAAGGTATCTTGCCACGACTCTCTTACCAACCAAGAGCCAAAAGCTTTCCAATTGCTTTCTCTAAGATCTCTTCTATACACTTTAGACCCTTGGGTGTTATCAATTTTCCGCCCTAGATGCTGTTTGGGAGTTATCAGTACGGTGTAGTGGTCGCTATTTCCAATTTTGGGCAATTGAATTGGTGTATCATATAATTCCGACTTATTTGTAAAAATCAAATCCAAAATGCCAGAATCCCGTGTACGGAAAGTCACTCGCTGTTTTAAAGAGCATGCACGTGTAACTTCGGCTGGCCGAAATCCAGTAGAAGTAGGGTTAAAGTCACCAGTTATTATAACTAATCCAGAAGTATGTTTACCAAGAAAAGTATCCACATTTAGTTGGATATGTTCGTACAGTAATGAATTTTGATCTTGATCAGCCCAAGTTGGGTGATAAATACATGCTACAAGGATAGTACTACCAGTTCTAATTGCTCGCACGGGTGTTATTCGAATCCATATACTTTCTATCTCCTTCGCTACTTCATTTTCCTGAAATATTCTCCTGGTATACTTACATACGAATCTGAAATTTCATCGTCCAGCCACGTCTCAGTCAGACACACAACACTTACATTGTTTATACGAGAAACAACTCCTACTTCATCGACTTTAGTACGCAACGATCTAACATTGGCAAGCAATACCGAAGGCAAGTTAGCTTCCTTCCTCGTTGAGATGACTTTATAGTACTGAGGTCTAACAGGAAGAGCTTTATCTCGATTAAACCCGCCATAAGTTCGATCGGTAATACGAACTGGAATACTTCGATATTCTGATTCTTGAGTGTTTCTCTGTTGAAAAAGTTCGCATACTTTCTTCTTACCAGCTCGCCTTCCACGTCGCGTTGGCTTTCGAACTTTCCTAGTGCATTTAGATTCCTTCCCGATATGAAACTCCTCAAGTGTCGTTTTAACTTCATACTCAATGTCATATTTAGTCTTAGAGTAAGACAGTAAGACGGATCTGGACCATTTCATACAACTTTAAACTATCATACGATACCAATATTATTAAAACACGAGAGCGATAAAAGGTGCAGCCACACACGGCGCACACGATAAGCCTATGATGTTTGTGATGTTACTCTGAGTGTGAATCCACACCGGAAAGCAGAAATGTTTGCCTGACCACGGTGGGAATCAAACCCGCGACTTTTGGGATAGTCCAATGCTCTGCCAACTGAGCTGCGTGGTCAAATCGGTTTCGAGTTATAAAATTAAACATCATAATTATTCACCTGAGTACATAGCACAAACACACATACAAAAATGTTTTATATGATATGTTTTCTGACATTAGAAATGACAACATCTCTGAAAAATGGCATAAGTTCGAAAGTCTTTAGCATTCTGTACCATTTTTGGTATTTATGAATCATGTCTGTTTTGAAGGACGAGTAACAAACATATATATTTATATTAATAATTTCACGAATCGTGACGAATTTCGGCGAGCTCGACCCACGTAAGCACACTTTGTATTAACCTCATGTAATCCGATTCTAGGTTTCCCATTCATATCTTGTGACGATTCGTTGCAATTGATTTCACAAGTCGTGACGAAATGTCATTTCACAAGTCGTGACAAATATTTATTGTCATGACTAGTGAGATAGGACAATATTGGAGACGTATGTAATTAAATCGCAACACTAATAATATAGGTTTTTAGTTCTGAGTCCTGCCTCATGCAAATCAGATAAAAAAAACATTGTCTCTTCGTTAATTAATAAATTCATTTATATAACAACATTCGCGACACCGACGTACGGGAGGGACAACTTAAAAGGTGTTCCAAATATCATCTAAGAGATTAATTCGGAAACGCGCATATTTCTTCCTTTTTGAATTATTAGAGACGATACGATTTTAGGACGGCAACGCGACGACGACGGGCAAAATAAAATCTTTCAAATAAATGGTGGTAAAGCTAATTCGTGGTATATTATCAATCGTGTGAATTTAAAACAGTCTTCGAAGTTGAAGACATGAGTTTTATGTTTGGGAAGAGTTCTGTTGAAGCCGGTTTGAAGTTGACCTGTTGAGGCTTGAAATGCAGCCGTTGCGTAAGACGTGAAAATCTGTGATTGGGCGTTGCAAACAGAGCGAAGACAATGTCTCAATTATTCATATATTGTAATTATTCAATCATTTTCAATGATTTATTGTATTGGATCTTACTTAGTTTCAAATTTGTACAAGTGGTCACCCATAGAGTAAATAAACGAGCATTTTTAACATGAGCCTATGGCTCGGGAGATTGAGTAATCACTCACTATCTATTGACTTTAAATAAATTACTATTGGTGGCCGTTGCGGTCGCGTTGCCGTCCTAAATCGTATAAGATTTATAACTTAATACGCTGCGCAGTGCCACTTAACATGTGCTAAAAGACTCCCAGCTTTACGGGAATAGATCCCTGGTCCTACCTGTTTAAGTTGGTGGGGAAGGGCCCTACGTCCGAGGAAAGAAAAATCTGGTGCATATATGAACTTCGCTTCTTGGTCATCTTGGTTCAGGGTCTCGCTTCTTGTAAGTACACGCTGCCCGAACAACAATTAAGGGGGCGGGCGGGGGGAGGGGGAGGGGCGCAGCAGTGGTAAATTCAGCGTTCACGTATCTCGTACGCCAATGGTATTGGATTGTGTATATTGGCCACATTCAAAATTAGTGGAAACAATCATGTCCAGAATTCAGCTCTTGTAGTGTCACCTACCTCATCAATATTGTAAAAAAATGTCCATTCCCCTTCTTCCATGTTCTCCCTCTTTCTAGAGATGTTGGACAGCTGGCAGTTGACAGCGAGGTTATCGTTGGTTTTTGTTTTGAAGTTAAATCCAACACATTTTGGTTCCGTGTAGCAGAAATAATTGCAATTTGCTTGAACAGGGGGGTTGACATTGTGACTTGAAATGATTTGTTCGGGAGGTAAAGATGGGCCGTCTGTGTAAAAAAAAGGGAAAAAATGAAACGGATTTTCTTTATTTATTAGAAAAGCTAGTAATCAGTGTTCCTCAAAAATTCTTAACTATCTGTAAATAAGCATAGCATCTCAATCCCTGTTTTTCTTTTTGCAAACCAATGTCAGGAACGATTTAGGTGTGCGAAAATTAATCTGTCTTATAGAAATACATAATATTGATTTAACGCAAAGTATTAATAATTGCCAACACTTATTGCAGACTTGTGTTGGGTGTTGTCATAGCTACATGACCAATACAAACTGAAAACAGTCGATATTAACACTTGACGCGCAACGAAAGCCTGCGTTAAATGTTGAGCAATTGCTGATCGTCTTATTAAATCAATGTTTGGAAAATATAGGCGAGGGCTTGCTGCACACGTATGTTTCTATATTGTATGAAACTATATTACCAATGCAGGCTTTCTCAATTTAACAACTGTATTTACTTTAGGCAACTTATCCTTATTGACAGCCGGCTTTATTTATAACCTATGTTTCGATTCATTGTTTTTTATGTAAATACCCCCAACTAAAACGACAAACACCGTTGCGCAAATCCTCACAAGGAGGTTTCAGCGGAGGTTATAATACTGTCAAAACATCACACTATCACAACAATCGTACCTACATTTACTAGTAGTCCATTGGAGAAAAAAATTGATTATCTTCTAATGAATATCATCTTTGAATATCTTCTTCTTATATTTTCTGAATTAGGCCCATCAAACAGCTTGTTTTCAAGGTTTTACGAAGAAAATTTCGTTTGAATACAGTGAGTATATACAAGTGTTTATTTTTAATTTAATTTGTCAACAAATCGGGTTTATCTTCCATACGAAAGCGTACGGACACTAAACTTGCCAGAAAAGGAGGACCAATGGCCGGTGTCAAGCGAAATCCCTGACCTCTGCGAAATACCTGACCAAGCGTAACGGGTCAGAAATTTCGCGCGTGCAGGCACGAAATATATTGAAGCTTGCTAAATTCTATGTCGGCCAAACTTGTTTTTTAGAGTTAAGATAAAATAATCAGTGATAATGCATGTTAATGGCTCATACTTCGTTAAATATTTCAAATCAACATCGCTAAGTTTCAATCATAAACACTTTAAATTTCAGAGCGAATTGTGTGGTCGTGGCCGCGAAATACACGACGTTTGCTATATTAAATGTTACCAAATGTTTGTAATATAGATATCGCCAAATCTAAACGGCCAACTCACGAACTCATTGTTGCTGCTTGCTAAATAGTGAGAATTGGGAAAGTCAAACGCGAAACGATTTTTGGTGCTTATAGCAATGCATATGGCATAACCTTTGAAACTGGAGTCTATTTTATATCACTAAGTCTAAGAGCGCTTTTCGAGTGACTTTTTCCATATCTGCGATTCAAGCTTTATCATCACTGAACGTTAACGTTCACAATCAGTGGTATAGTGTCAATTCAGTTGATCGTTTGCAGAATTGATGTTTGAAAATTTTTGTATAAATAAAATGATTTATAAATACACGTGTTGTCTGTCGAGTTGCGAAATTTATGAGCCAATGTCATTCATGCGCATCGTCTGAGCATGGGCAGTTCTACAATAGTCAGATATTTCGCAAGTCAGGAATTTCGCCTCACACCTGCACGTAAACGCCACGCTGGGATATTTTGACTTGTAAAATCGTTTTCCCATATTTTCAGACTCCTAGGCCTAGGTGCAAACATCTGAATGCTTTCATCAAGCGAGACTATACTGATATTTCGGCATTCGCCGCACGCTGTAGACACGCTACAAACTGAACACGGTGGGAATAAAAGACAGCAAATTCGGCCACTTAGTTATAACTTTCTGATGTTAGTTTGGAATATCACGAAACTTCCTCACAGGATGGAACTTTCAGTTCCGAAAAATCGTATCGTTTTTGGTTTTCGATATTGTTACATTTTGGCGGGAAAATGACGTTCCAACTATGGCGCCAAAAAATTAAACCCGAGCTAAGAACATGCTAGTTACTTTTTTGAAGAGACTATTCTATAAGGATCTCAAAACTGTAAAAATATTGTTACGAGGCTTTATTTAGGTAGTGAATCGTTACAATCAATCTTGAATCACTATCAGTTCTTAATGTTCGTCTTCGTGGAGTAGTTTTACTAAGTTAACTTCAGCGTTGAGCAGGTTTTCACCGTTCGTGATATGTTCGTAAATTTCTTCGTCGTTCGTTTGTTTCGTTTGAGTTTCTGCAGCTTTTCATCAGTTAAGTTTTATTCAGCATACGTCCACTGTCGACTTTCGATTGTGCACGTCCTCTTATACTAACGGTTGAGGGAATCCTTGTACACGTGATCTAACAAGTGGTGTGATCCGTATCCAGCCAATCAACGTTGAGGTTTAAAAGTGTGGGTTGGCGTTGTTAGCTCGTTCCAGCTCTCACATTCTGTTTATTTAAGGCGTTGTCACACTCGTCGAGTCGGTTCGCTGTTAAATCGATCAATGCCAAAACAGGTTCACAAATTTAAATACTTATGCAGGTCGTATAGTAAAAACTTCGAACTATACCTATGTGAACATAACTTTACCTACAAGACTAAATTTACTCGTAATTTTATTGAACTAAGATTCTGATGACGTAATATTTTAATTGCATGACCGAGTGTTATCTAGCTTGGGATGACTCATTTTGACGCCTGAGTCTGTCCACGTGAAAGGTCAATGTTCATGAGACCTCATGGCAGCTGCTCTGTTTAAACAGATATGCCCACAAGATAAACTGTAGGAATCAGGTCAATTAAACATGACATCTTCACATGCACAATGACAGCTAGTTCAACAAACTGTCACAGTCTAATGGAAGGAAATAATCAATATTTACTTTATTTTGACATGTGTTCAAATATCCATTATCTCCCCTCATTAGGCTTTTAGTAATATTTACTTGCACGAGCATTTAAGCTGCTCTTAAGCAAAAATCTTTGTGTTATCTTATTTTTAGCCTAAAATTTTATGTTTAAGTAATAATGTTTCGTAACAATATTGAAAATACAACAAGGCAGTGCGAAGATATGGCGATTCAAAGTTTGAAAAAAATGTATTTTTAGTAACAAAATGGCGGATATTTCGGATTTTTAGGCACCATATCTTTGCACTGCTCTGTCATATTTTCAATATTTTTACAGTTTTGAGATCCTTATAGGACAATCTCTTCAAAAAAGTTACTAGCATGTTCTTAGCTCGTGTTTAATTTTTTGGCCATTTTCCCGCCAAAATGTAACAAAATCGAAAAAAAAAACGATACGATTTTTAGGTTCTATCCTGTGAGGAAGATTCGTGATATTCCAAACTAAGGTCAGGAAGTTATAACTAAGTAGCCCAATTTGCTGTCTTTTTTCCCACCGTGGATAAACGGCAAAAATATGAAAATCCGAAGACAAAAGCTTGAAAATGACACTCAAAAAGCTGCTTATATGGAAGCGGGCTGGCCCGCTTAAGCAGCATGGTAAGGGAGATTTTTATAGTAAACATTATCGTGCGTTTATATGGACAAATGGGCTGGTCCGCTTGTAGATATTTCGTTTGAAAGACATGAAATCTAGCTTTGAGGGATGCCACTGGTTCTAAGATAAAGTTCAAAGGTGCCATCGCATGCTATTTTTAAGAAAACAACAAAATTGTTGGGGAATTCATCCAGTCTCGCTTAGCCAGCTTCATGAATATAAATAACATCTAAATATTGCCTTGCATAGCAATCCTAAGGCTAAATTACAAAGAAGATCCTAAGATGCAGAAAATAAATAATTGGGCGAAGTATATGGCTAGTTATTTTATCAAGAAATTTGAGTAATTTGATAACATACGATGTACATGTCGCTTGACTTAAAGGCATAATTCATTATAAATTGCTACAGTTTTGATGTTGATCAGAAGTGTTCTTAGCTTATCCTTAGGAATTATAAATAATCCACGAGCTAAAGGGGGGAAGCGCTATTCCGGACGCAAGCCCGGGTCAATGATAATAAATCCTCTCGGTATTTACATTCGGAAATTTGAGAACAAAGCGAACTGCAGTTGTTGTCCATTATTGATATACCGTTTTCGACGTTATGCGCATGCGCGACTAAATGCTCGTGTGAAAAATATTCATTTTGCAAAATATTTATTCTGCTGTTTTACAGTATTTTTTTTATTTTTTCCTTTTAACTGGAAACAAGTACGGAGTTTCATGAATTAGTGGCTGTCAACCGTGAAACAAAGTTTGAAACGAACCAGATCTTTTTAATAATTTAATCGAACGAAGCAGGTGTTTTTAATAATTTAATCGTTGTTTAAGCTAAGTTTTGGTACATTTCAGTAGTAAAATTCCATACCGCACTTGCTTTTGTTGTCGATTTCATTCATATCTGCGAAATTTTTAGGTCATTTTTAAGTGAATAATAATTTTTTCAAGCAAGCTTGTATTTACATATAATTGTAGTGACTATACTATTCATTTGGGGCAATTAATTCAACGCATTGTGTTTTTACGTGTGTTTATAATGGTCTTTTACCTTCAGGAAATGTGGCTTAACCAAAATATATTCACTGAAAAAATAGCATCCGCGTTTAAAGCAGATATATATTTACCGTATTGTACTGTCGCCAAAACGAGTTATTCAGTTTCCCCCAGCTGCTTCACGGAAAAGTTTCGAAACGTTTTATGGCTTTATGTTACAATAAATTTCAGTCTAGTAACTAAAAGTTAAATAACATAAAACTACTTTCTAGTTTCTCAAAATCAGTCATTCTTTAATTACAAAATTATCTCTTTCAATTTTTTCCCATAATAACATTTTCACGTTCCATGGCAACGCATATTGTTCTTTATCATGAAACACTTCAGGTGGAATTGCTCAATACTTCATCTAGATCTCTTAATTCAAGAAAGGCGAGAATTTACTGCATGCAAGTATTTCTAGAGATATTTGTAGAGTTTTAGTGAATCAAATGGTGGTATTTTGTCCTTGCTGTACGCATTAAACCGAACATAAAAAACCCTGCAAAATTGGAAGTAAAAATTAAAATTAAATACTAACCACTGCTAAAAAACCGATAGACCCAAATCCTGGAACATTGTTCTGCTTTGAATCTTGCAATAATAGCCATAAATAAGGTTAAAGTTACCACTCTTACAAATAATCGAGGACCCAAAGTAGAATTCATCGTGCTTTCTCTGCAACATGCAGCAACACGAATAGTAGTATAGCAGGTGTTTGCAGGTGTATGAAGTTTTTACGTGTGGGATTGTCATGTATGTTAAGCACTTCAAAGGGCTGACATATATCTTTGAAATTTATGCAAAAAAAAAATTTCATTTTTTCGTGTACATGCACGTAAATAGTCACAACTATCGTTTTCGGAAGCTATGTAATACTACGTTTGCACTATTAATAGCTCAGCAGTAAAATAAACATATATTACTAAAATGCGATGCAGAAAAAGTACATAGGTCACACTACTCGCACTCTTTGCTTGCAATGTCGTGAGCAAAGAGACGACAACATATAAAGAGCGTAATAATGTAATTCATAACATTGTAACTATGGAATGATAACAAGCTTAGCAATGTATACTTTTTACTATTTTCTTTAATTATATATATTTCTTTAATAATATATATATATATATATATATATATATATATATATATATATATATATATATATATATATATATATATATTTGCAGGTGTATGAAATTTTTACGTGTGGGATTGTCATGTATGTTAAGCACTTCAAAGGGCTGACATATATCTTTGAAATTTATGCAAAAAAATTTTTTCATTTTTTCGTTTACATGCACGTAAATAGTCACAACTATCGTTTTCGGAAGCTATATAATACTACGTTTGCGCTATTAATAGCTCAGCAGTAAAATAAACATATATTACTAAAATGTGATGCAGGAAAAGTACATTGGTCACACTATTCGCACTCTTTGCTTTCAATGTCGTGAGGAAAGAGACGACAACAGGTAAAGAGCGTAATTATGTAATTCATAACATTGTAACTATGGAATGATAACAAGCTTAGCAATGTATACTTTTTTACTATTTTCTTTAATTATATATATTTCTTTAATATATTTCTTTAATAATAATATATATATATATATATATATATATATATATATATATATATATATATATATATATATATATATATATATATATATATATATATATATATATATATATATATATATATATATATATATATATATATATATATATATATATATTTCTTCAATAATAAATATATGTATTGTCGTAGTTTAAATTAAAAATTAATATTCCATCAAAAATAAATGTGCACATGTACCAGTTCGGCTGGGTTAGCGCGGACCCGTATTAAAAATTTAGCCCGCCCGTTTAGGTTTGTGTTTCATGCATGTTATCTTTATTTCAAAACTTCAGAAAAGAAAGTTAATTGTATCGAACCATGCACTTCAGTAGTTTGAGCAGAAATGATATGTTTGCAAATTTATTTAAATTGAGTTTGAATTTACCATCATTGCAAGATTGTTTTTATTCTACTTCGTATCCCCTAAAGTTTCTATCGGGAGCTGTTCGTGAGGAAATTTATCAACCTTGTTCCCAGGGCTTTTGTGTGAGGACGACTATTTTCTCTTGTAGGATAACGCCTAATTACCGCAGGATGATCCGGTATTGGAATGTTGATCTCCTCATCGTGAAAAGGGTCTGCTGCATGATCTTGTTGGTTTGTGGTGATAGTGATTTTCTTAGCTCGTTGCCTTTTTTGCCGTGATCATACTACCTTTGATTTTGACGATAGTATGTGGATGTTTGTTGTACGGTGATGATAGTGCATTGATGCGTCTTTGACGAACGAGAATAGTGTCACCAACTTGAAAGATGTCTGGCTTTGCTTTGGCTGCGGTATCAGCATACTCTTTCATCTTTTCCTTGTTCTTGAGATAGATATCGGCGAATTGGGATCGTAATGGGGACGTCGGACTACTTCAGGTAACTTGAAGGTCAATTTTCGTGCAAAGAGGAGCTCGGCACGGGAAACTCTTGATGTGGCGTTGTACGGTAGTTTCGGTGGAAAATCAACAGTTCTTACTTCCAATTCTTCTTTTCGAGGAGGGCGACGCAGAATATTTTCTGAATTGTTCGCACAAAATGTTCAGTTTCAGAATTGACTTTGGCCACTCTGGAGTGATCTTTCGGTGGTAAAACCCCATGTACTGCGCGAACTGAGCGAAAGAGTGACTTTGAAATGGTGGTCTGTTTCACGAGTTGATTTCTGCAGGAATGCCAAGCGTGGATAAAATGCAGTCAAGTTTGGGGATTACGATATTTGCAGAGGCGGGCGAACAAACTAAACCTCGGGATTGCGCGAGTATTCGTCGGTTACCACGAAGAGCATATCGCCGGAAGGAAGGGGTCCACAGAAATCGACAGAGAGTTGTTGCCAATAGGCCTGAGGTAACTCGTTTGTCATGCGTAGGGATTCAAATGACTGTTGAACGACTGTTGCCTGACAGGTGAAACAATTGTCAATTAGATTTTTCCTAAGCCCATCGATTGCAGGAAATCAAATCTTTTCGCAGAGCTGATTAGTTTTGGTAAGGCCATGATGACCTTCGTGGGCGATGTTGGGAGCACGCTGACGGAGGGCATGAGGGAGGATAAGACGGTGAGCGCGAAGAAGGAGATTATGATCATCAGAAACACTCAGTTCGTCGCGAATATTGAAGAGAGCGTGAAGGTCCGAGGAGTTGACAAAGGGACTGGGTGTCTCAAAAGACGAGTGCCAGGAGTTGTTACGGAGGGCGTCGATAACGGCTTGCAAATGGCACGGGTGGATTGTTTCACTTTAGAAACGGTCATGGCCTTTGTGCTGGTATTATGTGCTAAGAACGCGATATATTCTTCTGCCAGGTCGGATGCAGTCGAAGGATGGGTAGTAGCTAGATGATGACGGGACAAACAGGTGGGAAAATTGTCGTCGCTGACCAAATTTATCGCGGACGCTTTCTTTTTGCCAGCAAAAATTGTGAAAACAACAAAAACACAGATTTCGCTACCCTGTTTCTCGTACTACAGCAGAGGAAAAGTAAAAGAAAGCTAGCAGACGTAAACTTTATAAACGTTAATCAAGACCACAATCATTATAAGTAATAGTATAGAAAGAGGCGAATTAGCTATTAAAACGTCCCGCCCGATGATGGTCGTTTAGTAAAATTCCCTTGGGCGCCGCTCGATGAGGGTCATTTAGTCAATTTTACTAAATGACCCGAATCGAGTAAAAAATGAAGAAAGTACTAAATTTTGGCAAATTTCATGTGCAATTTGATTTATACGAAAAAGGCGACACAGAAAATGAGCATCGGAATAATCATATTGCCATGTATTGTGCTATAATAGTTTTAAAATATATTATTTTTAGGTTTTCAAAGTATTTAAAAAACAGATTCACGAAGCAATCAGATTTTTCTATGACCCTCATTTCGGAGTGCAAACTTTGTATTATTTTTAAACACAATTTTCGTTCGTTCAAAATTCTATAAACACCAATTTTGTCATGTTACAAGTTGTGTCAACGAAATACGCTGTTGGTATGATATGGTATGGTATGGTATGGTATGGTATGGTATGGTATGGTATGGTATGGTATGGTAAAACTTTATTTAATGACGCTGGCCCCGACAGCAATTAGCTGATTTCCACGGGTGGCGTCAAATATTAACTATTTACAAAAAAGAAATATTTATATTGTAAATGTTACTGGTGTTACTGGTGTGACCACAAATATCATTTAGCTATCATTACCTCTAATAATATTCTTAATTAAATTGGCTAACAGATTCCCCTACCTTTGCATCAAGCGGAAGGCTATTCCACAATTTAGCTCCACTATAATTGAAATTCTTTTTAATTAAGGTACTCTCTTTTTGGTTAAATCTGTTAGACTATTTCTAAGATCGTAGTTAGTTTGGCGAGTGTTTCTCAATATTAGAGACTGCTTACGGTTAGGGCCGATGTAGCCATTCAAGACTTTGTACAACAATATAGATTTAGTTGTACACCGTCTTGTCTCTAGATCGTCCCAGGCAAGGGAGCGAAGAACATCAGCAGATCGCGTTTCAATACTTGCACCGGCTATAATTTTTGCAGCCCGATTTTGGAATCTCTGAAGTTACACTTTGAGTTGTTTGCTGCAAACTCCCCATATGGGAGAACAGTAATCAAAATAGTGCTGTATATTAACGCGCTTGGTAAATTGTTTGTAAGGTGTTGGCAGGGACGAAAGGTTTAATACGCTTCATCATTCCTATACCTGCCGCGACCTTTTTACAAATCACTTCAATATGTTCATTCCATTCATTTTACATTAAATTTCAAAGCATTTTAAGTCGGTATTAAATTTCTTGGCTTTGTAAAAAATAGAAGTATTTTTGGTTTCAATATTCCAATTGATTGAAGCTATCAGAGATTTTAAAGGAAATTTTTTGCTCTGTTTTGTTTTGCACTAAAATAATCGATATTAGTGGTTTACATTGTAAATATTTGCCAATAGAGGAAATTAAAGTATTACTGCAACATTTTTGTAAGTGAATCCAATGTTTGTGTTGATTTGTGGCCCCAAACAGCTGCTGTAATATTGTGTTTCGAAGGCTTCGTTCATGTTGTTTATGTTTTTTAAATCAACCAAGTGGAGGCACGCATATCTTCTTCTCTCGCTAAACCCCGAGCAGTTTCGCGCATGCTCAGTCAATTTTCCCACCTGTTGACGGGAAAGATAATCAGCGGGGTTGGTTTTTCCAGACGAGTAGGAAAAGGTAAAGCGATATGGTTGGAGCTGGACAGCGCAGCGTTCTAAACCGGCATAATTGGAACTGGCAACGGGAATAGTAAAAATGCTTTCAAGAAGTTTGTGATCTGTGATGTTGTTGAATTTCGCGCCGTAGATGTAAAGATAAAAATGTTCACAAGCAAACAGTACGCCTAGGGCTTCTCGGTCTATTTGAGAATACCGTTGTTCTACGGGAGTGAGAGAACGACTTGCCTAGGCAACAATATGGTTCTCTTGGCAAGGAATCACACCAAGACCAACAGGGCTGGCATCGACAATTATGGTGGCTTCTTTGTGGGGGTTGAAGTACGGGAGAACGGTGTCTCTGGTGAGAAGATGCATCAGCTGATCAAAACCGTGTCGATGCTGAGGTGTCCATGTCCAGGGCTGTCGGATTTAGTTAGCCTACGGAGGGGTTCGGTGATGGTGGAATAATTGGAGATAAATCAGGATCAGTAATTGGTCATACCGAGGAAACTGCGAACAGTGGCGAAACGGAACCTCATGAGGCACCCCGTAACCCGCAATATTTTTAAGTGGGGCCATAATTTTCCCCCGGTAAAAATTGGCGAGCGGGGCTGGAGGGGAACAAAAAAATTATCGAAACATATTTCTTAAAAAGAGGTTAAAATTTTCTTTCCGGACTATGACATGTAAAAAAGAATCCATAAATATTTTTCCCATCCATCTCTACTAAAAAAAGAGGAGGTCTATATTTCACAATTTTACCAATTCCTGCTTTTGGGGGTGGCCCGTTGCAAAATTTCTGTCCCTCTATAACTGAAGCTCGGACCAATTTCCCAATGTACTAGCAAAAATTTTATGGTCATTTTTGTCGGGGACACAAGCACCCTTCGGTTACGCCATTGACTGCGAACTTCATGAGCGGTTGTAGGGAACTGGTATTGTTGATGGCAGAGACTTTCTTGGGGTCTGTCATCGTTAATATTACAACCGCCTTCGATGCCACTGAGGACTTGTTGGATGGCATCTTGAAAGACTAGGAGCGGCGAAGTACTCTTTGCATGGAAAACGTTGTGAGAGAGCGACTTTCGTGTGCGATTTCGAGGAGATGGTAACCCGAGTTCAAATCAATTTTAGAGAAGACGGTGGCACCGTTTAGATCATGAATTAGGTCATCTATTGTCGGTGTTGTGGTGTTTTGTCTTTAGCTTTTTTATTGCTTACTTAAGTCGTTGCTTACAAACTGAACAAGGTCCCGTCCCTCGTGGTCATCCGGGTTCTATTATCTTACACACGTGATTAAACTATTATATAAACACTACATCCCTCCTAACTTTAAAAGAAAAGACATATAAACATTAGACGTTCAGAACTAAAATTATGCACAGTTCCATAAACTAACGTTACTTCGTCACTTAAGTGGGAAAAACATATGTAAGAATAATGTCAACAAAACTAAATAAAGTCTTATATAAAAACCTAAATTAGCGTTCTCCACATCATCAATGAAATTGTTCTCCATATCTGGGAGGACGCTTTCTCACTCCTCTGGGATAGCGAGATTCAGGGGCTTCGACTGCCGCTGTATCGGGTTTATACTCTTGTTGACCGCCGTCTTCTCCGTCACTCGCTTCTTCATCACTGCCATTATCGCTGGGCGCTTTCTTAAAACACGAAGAATTTCAGGTGATCGTTGCGTTTGTTATTTCATGCTACCACCATGGATCCTTTCTTCTGTACAACGACATATGAATCAAGTCGGTAGGGCCGGGTGTATCTCTCTTTCTCTTCGGATCGTTACGCTTGACGAGCACTGTATCGCCTTCCTGGATTGTTGAGGGTTGAACATAGGTTTTGGAATCAGCATATTTCTTCATCCTCGACTTCGCCTTGCGATCATTTCCCTCAACTGCTGAGTCTTGCAAAGTCTTTTTCAATTCAGGTAACTTTGTTTTTAGTGCCCGACCAAACAATGCGGTTGCTGGGGGAACTTTAGTCGTTGTGTGAGGAGTTGCTCTGACGTTTCTGAGGAAACGATGCATCTCTTCTTTCCAGTTCTTGTGCTGTACTGTCGCCGTCTTGACCACCTTCTTTATCGTTCTGGCGAATCGCTCGACCTCGCCAATTGCTCTTGGCCATCGAGGAGTGATCTTTCGATGCTTGAAACCGAGAGTCTGCGCAAACGACTGAAATTCACGGCTGTTAAAAGGGGGTCCGTTGTCTGTCTTTACTACGTCAGGTATTCCAAATTCAGAGAACACTTTGTCTACCCTCGGAATCACCGTGTTGGCAGAAGTAGACTTGACCGTTTCGACGACCGGATATCTTGAATAGTCATCTGTAATTATCAGGAGATACTCGCTGTTTGGTACTGTATATGGAATAGTCCTATCTATAAATAAAGAAAGTCATCTATAGTATGTTCAAAATACGACTTCGTAGTTTGTAAAATAAAAGTACTTACTTTTCGACGAAGCTACGATGATCGACATCTCATAATTAGGGACCGGTCATTATTTATGGCGGGGGGTGGCACCGAAGAGAAATGTTTTTCGTAGCAAATATTTTGCTGACCCAACCATTAAAAAGTAAAAAAAAATGATTACCCAACCTCAAATATCAATTAAAAAATAAATACCCACTCCTGGCCAAAATATTTACAAAAGGTACCATTCAGTTGTCACATATGTCCTTTACCACTTCTGTGACATAAGTTTGATAACGGATTGTGAAATTTTCTGCAGTCTGAAGTTTCATGTTGTCTGCACATGTAGCTACTTTCTTTGGAGATCCCATCGGAAATTGATCAAGATAGTGACTCTGATTGATATGTACTTTTCGTTGTTTCTTTACACATTTAGTAAATCTTAGTATAACACCAAGTTCATCAATTGCTGCTATTTTGCTAGCAAATCCATGTATAATAAACCCGGGTGTTTTGAATCAAAAGTGATGCACCTGGATAGTGGAATAAGTTGACTACTGTAGGCACAGTTTTTGGCCACTTAATAGTCAAAGGTCATGCATAAATAAGAACAGTCTTTAATATTACCGCCTTACGGAGACTTTATATTAATTGTGCTACTCTATGATCTAGAAGACCCATAGGTCCCATACTCGTCTAGCAACATAATCAAGTTAGTTATGTTAATTCATTATATATAGGATCAATGTTAAAGGCAAGGTGGGCTATAAGCTACAATCATTTGTATGGCTTATAGAAGGCTAATTGCTGCGAATAAATTGAATAATGAATGTAGCACAATATTAAATAGTTGCATGATGACGTCAAAGAAACTAGTCAGACTACATTTGCAAGTTTTGCAACTCTCATCGCTCAAATTCCCCATACCTGAATACAAAATAAACAGTAAACAGTAAACAACGATTACCTTTTACATACCATATATAAAACGGAGTTTTCATCCTTTCTAGAAACTCACTTCCTGAACTTTTGAGCGCAAATGTAATGTATTAAAAATGTATATCATATTCACAGCGGTTAATACCATTAATATATCGCGGGCGCAATACAAAACAAAACACGAGAATTTTAAAATGTTTTGATTTGCAAATAAATAAATAATATTTGATGTCATAAAAATTTTTAAATTTAACTCAACACAAACTGGTAAATTCATGACATGTATAATTTAGTTATATGTTGTTATATTGCAATTCTGTACCCTACTCCTTTGAAAATTGTTTGCAATTGCATATGATGTGAACATGTGGTCATGTATTATAGTTGTGTCATGAATTTAATAATACCCCAATGGCTTCGAAATAGACAATGGATGAAAAAAGTCATGAATATTGAGCTTATTTACCCTTTAAACACTTGATCGTCATGCGCATACAGTGTATTGTTTGTTTCCAGAACCCCCTCAAGCAGACTTCAACTTTTTTTGTTAAATTGTATATTTTGCTTCATACACTGCATGTGTGTTGTTTGTGGGAACACTCATGTTTGGATGCTTGGCATAGGTTAATGGTAATTTCATTGGAGTCATCAGGGATATAGTTGTATATTCCTGAAATTACCTCTAAACACCTAAAACAGCATTCCCTAAAATTTTAATTGTTTTCTTAGATTCCCCTATATCGCTCAAACTCGCATTGCTTAAATTGCAGATTTTGCTTAAATCACCTAAAATTGCTTAAACTTGCATTATCTCGTTATCGCCCCAGAGTAGGGCCTACTGTTGCCATTGCTTTTTAGTCCCCAATACTTCAGTGAGTCATGCTTTGGAAATGACAATATTTTTTTATTACCCAACCCTTGAGTTGTTTTGTTTTTCATTTACCCAACCTTTTACTTACTCAAAATTTAGTTTAACCAACCCTTTTCTCTTCGGTGCCACCCCCCACCATAAATAATGACCGGTCCCTTAGGTATCATCGCAAAAGGTACAGAGGAATGAACGCACCACAGAAAGATCTACGGTACAGGTTATTATAAAATGTCGCCAAGGCCCGCCATACTCAATTATTATGTTTCCTTACACGAAGTAGTACAAGTTAGAAGCTAAACCATTAAATTAGACGTGCCGTGGTATTGCGGGCTCAAATCCCAGCCGAACAAGAACAGGTCTCTGAGGTTTTGGATAAAAGGAATTTAATTATTTATTAGTTCAGTTAAAGTAAAGGAACTGTCATCTAATTTTAGTAAAGTACGTCAGTATAGTTATACAAATGTATATGGATTAAACTTTTTTCTGTCTGTTTGCTTTGAAAGTAAATTCTATTTTTTATCGAAACTATAAGATTTACACTTATCACTTTTTGAGATATTTGTTTGCCAGTTTGGTGGGTTAGATTTCAAGCATGGTTATGGTGGTACATAATTTACATGGTACACGTTTATGATAGCTAGCTAGCTGATAATTTATTTACCTTAAATGCCAATTCTTTCACTTCCATCACTGCATACCACAGTCCATAAACAGGTTTTAAAACTCTATGAGGTGTTTACACCAGTCAATTTGATGAGAAGTCAGAGTTCTATGATACTGTAAATGTACCATGCACTGCATGGGCATGTATGTGTACTACGGTATAAACTTTGAGTAAATTGTCAGGCTAGCAGTTAGATAAATTTTCCTTGTTATTTTTGCTATTTGTAATAAACTAATTGTGTTCTTTGCCACAGGAACCAATTTTTGATAACTAAATATATTTTGATATTTACTGTTGTATTTTCTATGTAGATGCATAATTTGTGAATTATAATATTTGACGTTATCTGGATATTACTGTTCAGTTTTGTCCAATGTCGCCTAATGTCGCCCAATGTCGCTCAATGCATGTCGCCCAGTTTCGCCCAGCGACGCACACTACTTTTCTTTGAAAATTGCCAATGTCGCCTAATGTCGCACAATGTTGCACATAATAACGGCGACCTTGGCCCCCAAAGTAGGCCTTTTGTAATACATTTGACATCCGTGAGTACAATTTCTTACGCTGAATCGAACGGCGGTATTTTTATCCTTATTGCGCCATTATGCATTAATACAACTGAATACAAGAACGTTTGTAGCGCGAGTGAATTCACAACAATAGTATACGTACTGCGAACGATTTAGCGACAAATACAATTTCGCTTGATTTTCAAAGGTCATAAATCGCTAGAATACTGGTGTTTTGTTATTCATTTGACATCCGTAAGTACAATTTCTTACGCTGAATCGAACGGTGTTGCTTCGGTTCTCTATATTAAAATTTTATAAACTTAGCAACTTACTTGCGATTTGCGAAGGTTGCTGTTTCCATGCGAAATTCCTTGTAAAATTGTTCAATTTTCCCGAATTTTCCCCAAAATTCAGGGTTATTTATGGATAATTTGGGTAAAATTGGCAGAAGCCTTATGGATAATTGGGGGAAAAATTAGGCAACTCATTAATATTCTATTTTGTGGCTATCAACGACGATCGGAAATCTGACATCTGACATCCGACATCCACCACGCTTGCCGAAACCTATACTCGCCAGGGCACAGAGTGCCCCAGCGAGTAATAAACCTGCAGTTTCATGAATTAGTGGCTGTTCAGCCGTGAAACAACGTTTGTATTAAATAATTGTTTTGATGTTTTGATGTTGATACTTTTAATAATTTAATCGTTGTTGTGCCGGTTTGGGTAAGTGTAAACACTTCATGCAGTAGTAAAATTTCATGCCGTATATTTGCTTTGTGTTGTCGATTTTATTCATATCTACGAAATTCTTAAGCCATTAACTCAATAATTCACAATAAATAAATAATGTGTTTTAATGCAATCGTTTAATTAATAAACTAGCGCATCAGTTGTGTTTTTAGGTTTGTTTATAATGGTCTTGATACTTTATCCAGAGTTTTTATACTTCAGCTGTTAAGAAAGGCGAGGGGTTGCTACATGCATGTATTTTCTAGTATGATGAACAAAATCTTTCTCATACTGAACGAATACATGTCGGAAGTTGAAAAACTTGAAATAAATTTATTTTAAATTTGTTGTTATTTATAGCTATGCTGTCTTTGATCCAGACCTCGTGTATCATACACTAGCGCTAGTAGCGATTCGTCGGCTATCAGCGCATATTTGGCATGAATTCGTGGAAGAACTGTTAAATATCCGAATATCAGTTTAATTAAAATTCAGAAATAAAACTGTTTTCGGCCGGTTCACGTTACTGTTTTAATATTGCAGTGTTTCTTGTACACACATGCACGCTTTAAGAATGGCTTCCTGTGTGACTTTATTGTTTTATTACAAATCTTCTCTCGATTTCTGCTTAGAATGTAAACGCAATGATGGGATGACTTTTTCACCAGACTTAGATTTAAAAAATAGTTTCTGTTTAGAATTAACTATTTGTTCAGGAAATGGCTGAGTAAATTAATAAAATAGAATGTAAAACTATTGCTCGAATGCCATGAAATAAAGTTTTAATGCACTTTTCACAAGTTAATTTCGAAAGCACAATCAAACAGCGTCAGGACACCACACAGCACAATGAAAACATGACATATCAAAGGAAATAGCATCATATACAAATTGAGATATCTATAGGGCACAAAACAAAATTGTTGTAAAAGAATATCACGGAATATCACATTTTCCCCATCCTCGTACCCAGGGTCTTTTTGGTGAAAAGTCCCTGCGACGGAGGTAGGGTTTTTCACAACAGTCGTGATAGTTTTTGCTATTTGTTTGAAGTGAATGTTTCGAAGTTTTAAATAAGTTTTAAATTGTCCGTGAATATATGGATACTTGACACAGTAAAATGATTAGGGAAACCTACCTTTCAAGTTAAAGTACATGTGACATGAAAATTCTTATTTTCTTAAAATGAAAGATCTCTTTAAGCTGTAGTGTAACTTATTTTTCAGTTTCTTGTTTTCATGGGTTTTTCCAGAGATATTTCAATTTGTTTGATAATAATGGTTTAATACATTCACTAAATAGCTTGATAAGCTAAAATACAGTGATGTTTACAATGATAAAATGTAATGTAAAAAGTATTAATACTATGGTCTCTACTTTACTAAAGCTAGTTCAATGTAAAAAGTCTTAAAACTATTGTCATATTTACAGATAGAATTATATTATGTTAGTTATTATACTCACTATAATATAAAAACCTTCATGCTTACTTATCAAAATAAAGATTATATTTGCCAATTGCATATACAATTGGACTATGTTTAAAACGTTCTGTTTTACATGCAAAGTTATAGTACGTTGCCTCATTCATTCTCGTTTCTCGTTGGGAAGTTTTCTTTGGTAAGAGGTGGTTAAGTTTATGATTCGGGTTTGACATGTCCCTAATAAGTTGGACACACATGTCATTGCGTCGGTCGGTTAGCGTTTTGAGGTTCGATTCCATTAGTGCTTCATGGTATTTTAGTTCCGGATAAATTATCCTTAACGCTCTTTTCTGGATTCGCTCGATATCTTCGCTTTGCTCCAATGTCAACCCGCCGTTCCAGACTTGGGCGCCATATTCCAAAACTGATCTCACTACTGCTACGTAGAAAGTCTTCAGAGCTTCTTTTGGCGCATTATAACTCTTTAGAATCTTCATAAAGTATAGTCTCTTAGCTGCCTTTTTTGTGATATACTCAGTGTTTGTTTTCCATTTAAGGTCATCGTCGAACCAGATACCCAGTAGCTTGTAAGATCTTACTTTAGTGAGAGACTGCTCCCCTAATGTAGTTGGGGGTATAACCGTTTTATTCTTACGAAAGTCGATGTGCATTTCTTTCCATTTTTTAAAATTCAGATGCATATTTTCGTCGTTCGTAAATTGTAATACACTCTCCAAATTACGTTGGGAGTTGCCGATCGATTCTCCGGAGATATGATCGGAAACGTTTAAAACTTCAGACATGGTAGTGTCATCCATAAACATTGAAACAGTATCACTGTTCTCAATATGTCCACTAATTTATGACGTCATGTTGCTTGCAAGCTATTCAAAATGGTTGAATATCACTGCTATAATCCAAGATGATAATTTCAAACTGAACTCACTGGTAAATGTGATGAAACGCTGTTGGAAAATGTGAATAAATATCTACAGTTTTTAGAGTTATTGTAATAGATTTATAACCAGTGTAAGCTGAGCTTGCAACCAACGTGACTTCATAAATTAGCGGACATATACACACTCATTTACATAACAACCAATTTAAAATATCTCGGGAATAAATCATAAAAACAAAGAACTGATCGAAAAATAAGTTACACTACAGCTTAAAGAGTTCTTTCGTTTAAGAAAATATTTGCCTATTTTGAAACCAAATTTGCCCAATCATTCTTTTTGAAAAGCATTATTTACTAGCCTGCTGGTATAAATAAAGCGTCAGATTTACTACAACTAACCAATCAGACCGCGCGAGAACTTATTTTATAGCAAAATTTATACTAATTAATAATTAGTCGCCGACGGCGTGGTGGTTGTAATCACCGAGCCTGCATGATCCGACTAATTGTTTTAGTACAATTTCAGTATTGAAGAAGTTACATTTATAAATACAGCTGATACACTTGTCTATTTTATGAATATAATTTGCATAAATAATTTACTTCCGTCTGATTTTCAGTCATTTTGGGGGAGAAAGCGATAGTTACTGCTCAGAGCAGTCTCAGAGTTACCGCGCTGAAGGAGCTAATCAGGATGCTCATAAACCATTTTTCAACACGGAAATTGCTAATATGTATTATTTAAAATAATTGCTAGTTTTATTAACAATAACAGTAGACTATTTGTACCTCGTAAGTTTGTTTAAAGGGGAAGTCAAGTCCGTAATGTAAACAAACGGTTTGTTTACATTTTGAACTGCTGTATTTTTTAAAATATGATGTACTGTCTGAATATCTAACACCATTTTGGTTCGTTATGCTTCTACATGAATATGAAATAGAGTTTGTGTTCAGAAAAATTCGAAACATTCAAAATTTGGGCAATGTTTACCTCAGAGGGCCCTCTATTGTAATGCGCAGTACCGATGCGCAGAACGGACTTGACTTCCCCTTTAAACTTTAAGTTTTTAATTTTGTATATTTGTCATATTTTTTAGAGCTAACTTCTTTTTAACAATCAACTGAGCATCTTTCCAACAAAGTCTACTTTAACTTAGTTACAACGTCGCCGAAAAGACACCCTCTGTCGTACGATCATTGTGTCCAACCAACATATCCCTGGAGATAATTTGCTGTGACATGAAGCGTTCAAAAACATGCGAAGTAATTGTGAGTATATAAAAATACCAAAAATACAAACTTATAATTATGCAAATACAATAAGTCAAGTCTGAAATAACATGAATTAAGATTATGGCACACACTTTTTAACCGCTTGAATGGAAGACACCATAAATTAAAGATAGTAATTACAGTGGATTGTCTTTAATTAATGGATTTAGTGCCAAGCCAGAAATGTGCTTTTCTCCAACCAGAATGCAAAAAACAAACATAAACATCGAAAAAACACTGGGCAGCGCTATTGTTTTGATCAAAATGCTCCGAAGAATGCTTCACAAATTAATTAAGTACTGCCATTCTTCGAAAAATTATTCAAAATTGTTTTTATACACGGTATGTTGTAATGAACAAATTGTTTTCACCAACTGAAATTTGTAGTTGTCTGTCAAAAATGTTTTTCGAGCATATTAATTTACTTAGTTGACGTGGTGTATTGTCTTGTTGAGTAGAAAATCAGCTATTGCAATGAAACTAAAATTGTTTTATCTAGTTTTTTGTTGCGTGGTTTTAGCGGTATATGTCAGCCATGCATACTTGGACTAAAGTAACAAATCTCAAATGTATTTCGCAACTGGAATTTTATTGGAATTTCATTATAACCATGCATGATCTGAAAAAAATAAACACCTTATTTACCTTCGGGTTCGTACTAAAAAACTTTTTCCTCGGCCTTCCGTCTCGGGCCGCTTATGAGACCTCTGAAAATTTTTTCAGTGCGGACCTCGCACTGCTCGCAGACGGGAAAAAATGTTTTCCAGCTCGCAATCTCTAGTCCGTAATACACGTCTTATTGTGCGGAACAGACGTGTATTTTGGAGCTCCGGTTAATTCGTAGTAAAGCACTATAGTATACCGTAGAATCCGACATATTTATAACCTACTTTAGACTTTTTTTCTCTATTTAGCCCTATTTTTTCCGTATTTTTTCAAAAATATGACTATTTTATTACTATTTATCAAATTTCATAAAATAGTATTTGACTATTTACACTCTATTTAAAATATAGGTTATTTATATTTTTCAAAAAAATAGCTTTGAAATAGGTATACCGGATAATGTCTGTGACCGGTCGCTTATTTTCAAGCTTGCTGGCAAAGCACGCAAATGCACCCTGTTGAATAAGTTTACTAGAAATATTGCAATTAAAATTTATTTCAGATTCAACAAAATACAATTGACATAGATGACCCATCTTTAACATTGAAGATAAATCTCTCTGGAGATGGAGCTAAAATGACTAGACTAACAAATTTTGTAGTCATATCATTTGCTGTCTTGGATAGCGAAGCTGACATGATGTCATCAAAAGGTATATGTAAGAAAAGAGTTATGTGGGCATATTAATTGAACAATGTTAGACTACCCAGCCATTCAAATTCTACTCTAAATCTAATCCTGATCTTACATCCACACCTACCCCTATTTGACTAATTTGTGCATATATCCCATTGAGCTGTAATGTGCCCCAGTGTGCACATATTTTTTTTCCTGTCCAATGCCAGACAATTTTACTTGTCAATGGGGAAGCTCTGCAGCTTAATGGATATACTGAATATCTGGAGCACTTTTAAATATTGTCGGTAAAACTATATTTATCTTTATTATAATCTCAATTTATCTCAAAGGAATCACACAATTGCCATAATAAAAGGCCAGGAGTCTTATGACTTACTACAGCAGTCATGCTCAAGCTTACTGAAGCAGGTGAACAAGCTACTCGAAGCCAAGAAATTAACCGTGAATGGAAAAGACATTCCAGTTGATATTTATCTTGGTGGAGACTACAAGGTACTGTAGTCTTACACACTTGTCTTACGACTTCAGTGTTGCAGTGGTTAGCACAACTCTGAATGTAGTAATCAAATTCGACCTTATGCATAATGACGTCACAACACTTGATACCAGCAAGGAATGTTGATCTTAGTAGTCATCAACTGGGAAAATTAAACAATTCAACATGGCCACTATCGGAACCTTCCCTGGCGATGACTATTAAGACCAGCATTCCTCGAAGGCATCAAGCCTTGTGACGTCATTATTTAACTAATGAAAGAGTTTCATGTCCTTTTTGTTTTCCTAATGTTTAGTTTCTTCTACTCATACTGGGTATGAAGTCAGCAACAAGTGATTATGCTTGTATTTGGTGTAAGATTTTCAAGTTGGACAGGTATTTAGAGTGTTAGTTTGATGATTGGTTATTCAACTACCTGAGAAAGAGAAAACAAATTATTTGACATTTCAAGCAATTAGGCCCTTTGTTAAGAAGTTGGTGAACTTTGCTAAGAAGTTAGTCGCTCACTTCTTGACAAAGAGCCTTTGCTCGAAATGCCAATTAATTTGTTTTCTATTTTTCAGGTTGTTGAATAGCTGACACTTCTTGTGTCACTATCTACACTGGTGGTGTCTGGCACCCTTCTTGCAAGTGTAAATTTAGAATGTTAACCTTTTAATTTACAATCCTCATCGAGAAGAAAGTGTTGAACTTTAATTGACTGAATGGCAATGCACCTAAATGTGATCCACCTCAGTCTGTATTATGCCCGATGAATGAAGAGAAACACAGAAACATGAAAATTCTATTCTTAGCATTGTGTTGCATCATGATCTTGTTTTACATTTAGGTATGACATGTCAAAGCCAATTGACTATTACTGGCAGGCTAAGTTGGCCAGAACGTTCGAAGAAATGCGGGAACAGGCCAAGAGCTGCAAATTCTCATGTGAGCACAGACCACTAATTAACATCGCATTAGAAAATGTGGTCTTAGATGAACTCCATTTAATGCTTCGAATTACTGGTAAGTTAAACCTATCTTGTTTTCATTATTTCACAGGTATTTAATTAATTTAAAGCACTGAACAGAGTTGTCACTCCTACAATTATCTAGTATACAGCTGCTACTGTATTTTATATTAATTGTCTATGGCGAAAGGGAAAAGCCTAGACTATGTAGACTGCACCTCAGTTAAGTTTCACAATCATTCGTGCACATGAATTATATATTGATGTAAAAGCTTTGGCAAACTTGGGTCGGGTTGAATGAAAAGGTCTGGCGAAATTCACTGTTCGCAGGCCTAAACTGAAAACCCTGTAGAAAGCAATGGTAAGTTACTAGATGCAATGTACCTTGGCTTTTGTATTGTTTTATTCTGCCTTACATTATTAGAGGATTTACCTATCTTGGGCAGTTGGGTAGATCAATAACCAATAATACTCAAGGATTTCAAATTAATTATCTTAGTATTTCAATTGATTGTTCAAAAGATTTACAATCATGTTAGTGAAATGCAATTGTTTATTTCATTTTTAATAATGACACATTATTTACAGATAAATTAACAGACAACCTGGTAAGAGATGCCATTGAGTGGGACAGGAAAGACAACCTGAACAAACCACCGAATCAAAGAACAGCCAAGCATGTGGATGATCTTGTAGGTGCAATCAATAGGTGTGGAGTTACTTTCAACATTTGGGAAAAGATGGATGCTGATGGAAGAGGCAGTGGAATTTCCGATTTCACTAGTTTGATGGGATCAGACAAAAGACTCCTTCTAAACAAATTGCCAAAGAAGCTTGGAGCTGTTACAAGGCCAGAAATTAGTGAGACTGTTGTGAAGATCTGGAAGGTTTGTATATATTATAAAGCTAATATCCACACTGCAACTTAGTACACCAACTGTTTTTTTTTCTCTTAGGAGTTTACAGAACTATACGTCCTTTTAGGAACAGAAAACCCAAGCAGTGGCGATATTACCAAATACTTTCAGAAGGTAAATATCCTATTTGTACGTTTATGCAATTAACCCATTAAGTGCCAGTGCTCTCTGGCGTTAGACAGAGTGAATTACTAAAGTAGGGAGCATCAGAGTGCAATGCGACTCTATGGGTTAATGCATAATTAATTTCCTCATGTTTAGCACAGACCCAGGCTGCAGCATCTTGTAAGTAATCAGTATCGCCTTGCAGCATATTGCAATTTTCTACACTAATGTCTTCCATTTAGGCTACTTCCTGGATAAGGCTGTTGCTAACACTCAGTGGTAAAGCCATGGGATGCGAGTCGGGAAGGGTGACACCTTACATGCATGCCATGGTCTACCATGTGCCAAGATTCATGGAGAAAGGCAAAGGCGTTCGAAATTCACTGGACAAGGTGGGTAGTCATATATGCCTTTCTTTAAAAACAGCATCTCATTTTTACAGTTTGCCCCTTTTATGCCTTCACAGTCTAAATTATTTAAATCCGTTTTTTTTCTAATCAAACAATTAATTTTCTTCTGCTGTATGCTTTGTGTTGCTCATCAACCAAGATTCTCATCAACCAAGACAGTACATTTCTTTCAATTACTATGATTTACAGTAAACTCAGTGGCATCTTTGCTTTTTTGTTAAGTTTTGAAAAACTAAATGATGTGTGCAGAAGAGTGCGTCTGCATCGATCAAATAAATGTGATGCTGCAAAAGATGTTCTGCTGGTTGGGAAGAGAATGGAGCATCTGGCAGACTGTGAGAGGGGAGTCAGGGAATACAAGAAGCAGTACCTGGATTACTGGGAAGAAAGCATCAAAGAGTCTCGAGCTAAGCGCCACAGGGCTTGCATGCAGCCAGCTGAAGTTGGACACTTAGGCTTTGAGATGCTCAGCAATTTTACAGTTGATGAAATTAAGCTAAGGCTTAAACACTTGAGAGTCCAAACCCGGTATAGGTGTAAGAAGAAGCTAAAAGAACTCCTCGTTAATACACTGCAAGATAAGGAAAATGCAATGCTTTAGGTCTTAAGCGATTAAATGTAACACAGTTAATAGATTTTGCTGTAGCGCATTTACTGCATTATGTAATGTAAATACTCATGTAAATAATAAATAATATATATTCTAAATAATGTTAACCTACTCTACTTAATTAGCAAATACATACGTTAAATATTTAAAACAAACTAATAAAATAACTGTATATTATCTGTACACTGTGCAAATATGATTATTCATTGAAGTTGTCAGGATTCGGTTATTCAACTGCTGAAAATTAGAGAACAAATTATTGGACATTTAAATCGAAGACATTTCGATTGAAGTTGGTACCAAGGGCTTTCACTTGAAATGTCAAAAAAATTGTTTTGTATTTTAAGGTAGTTGAATAACTGACTCCTTGCAACTACTTTTCACATAGCTAACTACACTGGCAGCCCCAATCAGCCTTGAATTCAGTGCCGGTATACTCATATGAAATATGGGAAGTTTCTATTTTCAAAAAAATATTCATTTCCCTAAAATAATTATACCAGTCAAATATTCTTGACAAAGTTCAGTTTGTTCTATTGTTCAAACAACATGTTCGGCATTGCATGCCTTTCTTACAACAGTTAGGCATATCTTCTCCACTGGAATCCTAGCAGCTCTGCATAACTTGCCGTTTTTCTTCATGAAGTTGACAGATGACCAGGACAACATTGGCTTGGCTTTCAGAGGAAGATCAACTGCTATTCCTTCTCCATTTTGATTTATATGGTACCACCAGTTCTCTGGTAGGTACTTCAATGCCTCATAATTATTTTTCTGGTACAGGTTGTTACCACAGTGCTCAGATACTTCCCCTTTTCCACATGTTAGATTTCGCCATATATCCAAATCCATGTTAATATACATAGGAGCTGCGGAACGACTTCGCAAACCTTTGCTTATCCCCAACACAAACTGACGACAGGCTCCTTCCAGTCTTTCATCAGATATTTTAATTGGTTTATCGTAATTGCTACAGAATATAGAAATTAACTTGTTAATGATTTATACATTCATGACAATCCACATTGTGAAGGCTTAATTAAAGTTTGCAGAAGACAGGCACATTTTGATATGGGGATCTTTTGACCGGTCACTGCGGATTGAAATGATTACATGGCAAAATTCTCAGTTATTGCGAGGAGTCGGGTTATTGGACTAGGTACCTGCAAAAAGTGACTGCAACCAACAGCTGCAATTTCACCTTAGATAATGGAGGGCTGAAATTGTATTACCTTGGGTTAGAAGAAAAAAATTGAACCATTTTAACACTTACGTGATGAGGTCTTCAGTGAGATTTGTCGATGGTTCCCAAGAGCATGATTCAAGTGACCATCCCTTCCACTTTATAAGGTATTCATAGTCATTAAAAATATCGCAAAAGTATATCAGTTATTTATGATTACTAATATTCTTGTGTAAACATATTTTGATATTTACAAGTGGATTACTTATAGCATTCATCAGCTACAAAATTCATTTCTGAAAAGCAAACAATCAATAGACAAACTCCAAAGGTTTTTTGGCTAAACTTTTTATCCTTATATAGGCTAATAAGTATATATTATATTGCCATGTTGGTATGAATTATGTTTTATACATAGACACGTGCTGGTCTGCTAGAAAACATTGAAATTTGAAAATATGTCAAAAGATATATACTTATACTAAGTGTATTCTTCGCCTTGTTATCACTCTCTCAACTTCATAGAAAGTCATCGCTTTTTTCAGGCGTGGAGCCGTGTCCAACAAAACAACCGAGGACAGAGAATTCAATTGATTATAATCATGAATTTTTCGAGCTCGTTTCGTCGCCATGTTTGCTCCTCGTGATTCGTTATAAAATAGGATATGACAGGAATAAATTGGATACACGCGGTAAACTGTAGGGTAAGGAAGGATTGAATGAACATACGCGAGAAGCTGCTGCCACGCTATGCGTTTAGTATTTTGCCACGGGTTGGGTAACTATGTTATTTTGTTAGTGCTGTTTGCTAGCTTCTAGTCAATCATCGATGAGTATGCGTGAGTGCATTGCCAATTGACGATTAGCGTACAATTTACAACAACCCAAATACTTTCAACGATTAAACATTAGAAGTATTTAACAAAAAATCGCAGTGCATAAACGTTGGTTCCGAAAAATACTTTCCAGAAATTTATAGTGTCAAACACCGCGAAACTGTCAGAAAATTAAAAACTTCACCACATAACTACGCGTGTTGAAACATGTCAAAGTTAATAATAGCGAAATTCTTCGCTATCTCAGAAATATAAAATGTTCTTTCATCTTCACCATATTATGAACGAAAGCGAGGAAATTATGATTGTGCAAATTCATGTTAGGATTAAAAAGTGGGAATGCTGCTAACAAAAAATATCTTTTACTTATTTCTCCCAGCATACTCTTTGAATGTTTTATTTAAGCTGCTGCCAGCATGTTGTTGACTAGTGAACTGTATAGTTGGATGATTTTCTGCACAGGGTAAGAAGGACGTGTGAACAGCAGAGACGTTTGTGAAAGATATACAATTTCTCCTTACCGTCCAAAAATCTTTAGATTTTCCATGGTAAATTAAGCAGTATATCTGATGAAATATTGTTTAAAGCACCAGCTGATAAAGGAATGCGGTCTCTTAGCGCGCTTTTCATTGCATTTCATTGCATGCAATGTAAATATGCACATTTTTACTTGAACATTTACATTGTGTAACTGAAATAGTTGGAAAATAGCAGGGCAATTTCTTCGAAGAAGCGATTCAGTCTTTGTTTTTCGAAGCCGTGAAAAATTTCAATTTAGTCGATAACGTGTTAGGAACACCGTTAGGAAAATATTTGCTAATACAGATACGCTCGGTAAGTGCATGCATATAAATTTTAATCGGTAAATAGTTATTATTCAGTATTCTGGTTAACTATTTTTCTATTTTCTTTATTTTTGCAACTGTTTTTTTGTTGTATATGACATGAAGATGAGTGAATAAACATAATCTAATCTAATCTTATCATCTAATGTTTATAATATAATCTGGGAATCGAACACGCGTCTTTGCATTTCAAGAACGATGTTTCACCGTCTGAATTACAAGGCAAAGTTGAGTACGATGTGATGTTCTCGACAATTCGGACTTTCCTGTTTCGATGATGAGGCAGCCATTTAACAATTACAACGAATGTATCCTCCCCAATAGTGCGCTATTAATTAACGCGAGAGAACGCCACGACAATTAG